AGTGCAGGCAGACTGCAGCAAATCCAAGAAGAAATTATAGTTATTTGGTGAACAAATCAATTGAGAGTAACAATGGAGTATAAATTATACATATATAGAGTAAAATATATATATACTCTTGAGATCGGACAGATATTTTGTCTTTTTTGCCCTGTACATTTCTATGTTAAATAATTAATAGACCTTCCATTTGATATTGCGCCTTATCACACCATCGAGACATCTCACAGCCCTTCACAGGATTTTACTGTATAGTACTGGACTGTATGTATTTTGTAGGTGAACTTGGCAGCCAATTTGGGCACACAACATCCCACAGACAGATATGAAGTGAATAACCAAATTATCTGAGGGATTGCCTGCCAGGACACTGGGAGAAACCCTCTGCTATTTTTGAATAGTTCATGGGATCTTTAACATCCCCCTGAACAAGCACATACAAAACCTTGGGTTAATGTCTCATCTGACAGACAGACAGACTCTGATAAGGCAGGATTATACTGCAGTATCAGCCTGGACTGTGTTCCTATGAGAGGGAGCATTAAAGCAGCAGAGCTGAGGGAATTAAACAGAGATAGAAGAGGAATGGAGAGTGAAAATCATTCAGAATAAACAAAGCAAACTGAGCCCAAAATTCTTATCCGCTCTTTTCCTTTCTCTTCTCAGTTAGTGAGTCGGTGAGTCACACAGTTGGTCAGTTGGTCGGTCAGTCAATGTCAATGTCAGAGCCAGTCAGTCACACAGTCAGTCAGAGTCAGTGGCAGTCAGTCAGTGTCAGCCTGTATCAGTCAGACACTCAGTGTCAGTCAGTGTCAGTCACAGTCAGTCAGTGTCAGTCAGTCAATCATAGTCAGTTAGTTAGTCACTCAGTGTCAGTCTCAGTCAGTCAGAGTCATTCGGTCAGTCACTCAGTGTCAGTCGGTCAGTCAGTCAGTCACTCAGTGTCAGTTGGTCAGTCTGTCAGTCACTCAGGTGTCAGTCGATCAGTCAGTCAGTCAGTCACTCAGTCAGAGTTGGTCGGTGGGTTGGTCGGTGGGTGGGTCGGTGAGAGTGTCAATCAGTCAGAGTCAGTCAGTCAGACAGTCAGTGTCATTCAATCAGTCACTCAGTGTAAGTCAGTCAGTCAGTCACTCAGTCAGAGTCGGTCGGTGGGTGGGTGGGTCGGTCAGTCAGAGTGTCAGTCAGTCAGTCACTCAGTGTAAGTCAGTCAGTCAGTCACTCAGTGTCAGTCAGTGACTCAGTGTCAGTCCGTCAGTCAGTCTGTCACTCAGTGTCAGTCAGTCAGTCACTCAGTGTCAGGCAGTCACTCAATGTCAGTCACTCAGTGTCAGTCAGCCAGTCAGTCAGAGATCATCAAGATCATTGTTGTAGACTGATCAAATGGGAACATGACTAATATTTTGCAAATCAAAGTATTAACAGGCAGGGACAAGCAATGGGAAGCTTGCCTGACAGTGCTTTCAATGTGCAAACTATGTGGTTCAATCCAGACCTTGAAAAAGAAACAGTAACACAAAAAACAATTAAAACTAAAATACCAGAGCTCTGCAGAGAGCAATAGAAGCAACGAGAGGAAACGGGGGATTGAAAGGATGGAATCATGTGAGTGGAAGAAAATGGTGGATGCCTTTTCAACTCTGAACTGGGAACTTGGTCCTCAAGTACATTAACTCCTCGCTGGTTCTGCTGAGACTTTCTATTGTGCTTGTGCTGCCCTCTGCTGTCCTTCAAATCCCTTGCGCACCAATCTGCAAGCCACACCAGCCTTCCCCTACCACTCACGCGCACACATAGCCTGCTGTGTTTTCACTGAAAGAGAAAGAGCAGAGATTTTCTGAGTTTGACTGAAGACCTGGATCTTCATGGTTCCTGTGCCTCTCTCCATCTCTCTTTAATACAGGACTGCTACTCCTACACCAGGCCTCAAAAAGTTAATCGCCATTATAAACGCTTCACAGAATTAGAAAGAATTTGAATGAAAGAAAGGAACAAGGAATGAACAAAGCTGTGGAATTTCATCCCCCACCTCAATCCTCCCTTCCCTACTTCTTACCTGTCCACTCCATCCACTCCCTCCTCACTCAACCCATGGTCCCACAGCCTTGAACCAATATTCAGTCTATTACCCAACATTTAGCCTTCAGTGCTTACACTGTTTTGATCCTTCAGGTTTTCCAGTGTTTTGTCTGTATAATGCTCCCGCTTGTTCCACTGCTTCTGGTTTATAGCCATTAATGTCGCACATTTCCAGGTGTCTGTCTGGCTCAGTTGATTGCCCGTCTCTGCCCCCAACCTCTGGAATTCTATCCCCCAATCATTCCGCCTTGACCCCTTCCTTAGCCTCCTTCAAGTCCCGCCTCAAAACCCTCCTCTTCAACCATGCCATCGGTCTCCCCCCTTCCCCTACCTTCTCCCTCCCTGACCCCAGCTCGGCTCTGAAATGCTGTACACTGTCCAGCACCTTGGGACGTCCTCCCGACGTGAAAGGCGCTATACAAATGTAATCTTGTTGTTGTTCGATCAGAAGGTTGTGGGTTCAAATTCCACATCGAGACTTGGAGCTCACACATCAATTGACATCCCAATGCAGTGCTGGGGGTGGGCAGCAGTGTTGGAGGTGCCGTCCAAGGTCTTATCTGCCTATTCAGGTGGAAGTTAAAGATCTCATAGTACTACTCTTCAACAAGGAGTTTCTCCTGGTGTCTTAGCCAACAATCCCCCAAATAGGTCAGCGACTTCATTAAATACGTCGGCTGTTTGTGGGACATTGCTGTGCGCAATTTGGATATCGTGTTTGCCTACAAATACAGCCACTACTTTTCAAGGTAATATCCTGTGAAGCACTTTATAAAATAATAATCCTTGCATTTGATATAGCGCTTTTCATGTCTTCTGGACGTCTCAAAGCGCTTCACAGAATATACTGTAAAGTGAATTGACTATATATTTGTGGGTGAAACAAGGCACACAGCAGTGTCCCACAAACAGTCGTGGATTGAAGTGACCAATTTTATTATTTTTTTTCTTGAGGGATTTCTATCAGGCGTGTGGAATAAGGAAACTTGCCCAAGGTTTTGCCCTACTGGAATCAAACCCAGGTCTCTTGCTTGCAAGGCGAGTGCTCTAACCACTGAGGTACATCTGTATGAGATGTCTTACCAATAAGGCATCAAAAATGCAGGGATGATTATTATTAGTGTTGGGTAATGGTCTCTCTCTCTCTCTGGTAGCCCTTTACGCAGACAAAGAAGCACACACAGTCATGTAACACGTTCACCTAAAACAGTTCGTTCAATGCCTAGCTTTATTTTAGTTGAAGGAGAGAATAATATTTCAACCCAATTCGGATTAGAAAGCAAATGTGATTGTTCATTAGGCTTTAAATACATCAGAAACACTACTAAAGTGCTAATAACTGTAAATGCAGTGAAATTATTGCTACATTCCAATTATACATAGCTCAATGTCACAATTCAGTGCCATTGGGAAAGAGTGAGATTAAGATTAGATTAAAAGTAGTTTGGTTCCAAGGCAGGTATAGGTGCAGACATGGCATAAAATGAATACTCAGTGTATCTTTCCAAATCATTTTACATGGAGGTTTTTAGAAGTCAGCAACATTTTACACTGTTGGCAAATGAGAGGAGAGTGGGGAATTCATTTCATTGTGTTTATTTCTAACCTGCTTTGCAAGCCTGCTATTCTCTAAAAATGTCAGGTGTCAGCCTGACTCGATTAGTAGCACTCTTGCCTCAAAGAGTCAGAAGGATGTGGGTTCAAGTCCCACGTCGGGGACTTTGAACACACAGTCCAGGCTTACATTCCAGTGCAGTGTTGTGGGTGCATTCATTGTCAGCGGTGCTGTCCTTCGAATGAGACGTTAACCTGAGATTCCGTCTGCCTGCTCATGTTAAAAATCCCATGGCACTATTGAAAAAGAGAAAGGAGTTTCTCCCGGTGGGCTGGCTAACAATCCCCTAAATTAAATGCTCACTCACTCATGGATATTTGTGGGACATTGCTGTGCACAAATTAGCTGCTGTGTTTGCCTACAAAATACCCAGTCACTAAAATTTACAGTAAATCCTTTGAAGTACTTTGAGATGTCCTCCCAACGTGAAAGACGCTGTATCAAATGCAAGGATTATTATTCTTGTTTATCATAAAAAACAAAACGTCTAATCCTTTGGTAACTGTAAAGAATCAGTAACTGCTTTATAACCTGTTTTAAAAAAAACATAATTGAATCGTTCTTTATTCTGACGTGTTAAAGGATAGCTGCAATTCCCCGCACCTCAACAAAACTATTGTAAAATGGTTTGTGTGTGAGATTATGTAAACCACATTCACTAATGTAGGGCAGACAGATTGCAATCAAAGTCAATATTGCTACTGACCAGAGCCTTCAATGTCTGATTACGTTCATGTCTAACCATCAGTTGCTAAGCCACACATCCAGAAAAAGGGAATATTAATTGCTCCCGGGGTCTAGGTTTCTCCACTCAACTCACTTTGCTTGTAGTTTTACTATCAGTTCACAAGCAAAGAAAATCAGAGTTTGCAAATGTACACAAATTATTCTCCTTCAAGTATTTTAAGCGAGAACACAAGGATGGGGTAAAAATCAAACAACCCCAATGCATGCAGCCCACTTCCCCTATTTCCCTATTAAGAGACATCACATTATTGGAATCAGTATTTTTTAAATTTGTTCTTATTTTTGCCATCTTCTTGTTCTTTATTACAGCAATAAATCTCAAGTGTTCAATTGGCTGTTTTATTCCGGGGTTAATCACTGTGCCTTAAAGAGCAAATGTACCTACAAGACCTCTGATTAACGCTGTACATATGATGAAGCTATTTCTGCTCTCTATTGTAATTTCCATCACTGTTCACACCCCTAAGGGGTGTGAACTGAAAGCATCTTAAGCAATGAGAATTTTTTTGTTGGTAACTTATCAAAAAACTTGACTCCTAGAGTGTAAATGACCAGGCAGATATAGGGATCCTTTAATCCTTTAATCAAAATCCTGTTTTGATTCATGTCTTTAAATGTCCATCTGGTTAGTGGTTTATGCTGTAGCAGAGGTGCCACATCCTAAAAGCCAGGCGTGTTTGGAGAAAGTCCTGAATTTATGACACACTCTCCAGCCTAATAAATAGTCCTTGCACTCCCTGTCCTTGGGCTGTTTCATGTCCCTGTCTTCTTCTCCCATTCCTGTCATTAAATCAGAAAAAAATAAATCTGTGTTAGTAAAATGTAGAGTGAAAAATCTGCTCCATTACTTTACTCTGTCCACGTGCAGCTCGTGTTAATGTCAAACTGTTCTGATTTTATTGCTGCGGTTTTCAAATTCCTTTCAAGGCTCTGCATTAATTCAGTTGTCTCTAAATGTGTTTAGTGTTAAAGCCAGTGAAAGGCTTCTTTGCTTTTTGTGTGTGTGTGTGAGAGTGCCTGTGTATGAGTGGGTGTCTGTGTCTGAGGATGTGTTGGCGTGTGTGCATCTGCGTGTGAGTGTGTGCATGTCTGTGTGGAGGGTGTCTGGCAGTGTGTTTCTGTATGTAGCTGTGGGGATGTGTTTGCATATGTAGGAGTTTGTGTGTGTGGGAGTATGTGTGGGTTTATGTTTATGTGTGGGAGTTTGTGTGTGCGTGAGAGTGTGTGTATGTATGTATGTATGAGTGTGTATGTTAATGTGCAGGAGTGGTGCTGTATTTCACAGCTGTCCCTGCTTTAGATTCCAGCAGAAAGCCATACAGACGTAGGAGTGAAGCATCAGTCCAGTCACACACGCGTGACTATTGAAACCTGCTGGAGGCCCTTGTGGTGATAGTGGCATGATTCACAAGGGCAGATTGGAGGCAGCCAACTTATCTGCTTAGCTGCTGTTTGCTATCGGATAAAGAGTATTAAGAAGGAGGCAGATACCTTGGCCTTCTGTAGGACGTGTCCTTTAGTGGAGCTTGCGATGGTGGGAGCTTTTTTCCTCATTTCAGAAGCGCAGTTCACAGGAATGAACTGGTGTTCCGTGTAACCATTTTCAGTCTGCGCGGCACAGGACAAGACAGTTAATGACAAGTGACCGTCCCATGCGGAAGGTACGCTCCTTCTCCATGAATTAAGCACGTATTATTTCGGAAACACAAGCTCGCAATGAACTGCGTGCTGATTCTGAGCATGCTTAGCTTTACTCCACATTTGTACAAGGAAATGTCCATTAGGCGGCTGATGGACAAGGGTAGTTTTTACATTGAATCTCTGCTGTTGAAGCACCACATCATTTAACATTGATTATTTTTGTATTGTCAAGCTTATTGTTTATTATAGTAAACTTTAAACAAAACCAATAAACTAGTTCTGATGATCTTTAAAAGACTTCTGAAAACCCACCTCTTTTGACCATGTTTATGGTCATATCCTCCCCCTCTCCCACCCTCCCTGCTGATGCCTGGGACTATCTATGCAAAGTGCTTTGAGACATTGATGTAGTTTTTGTAGTCCGTCGTTCTGGTTTGCATTTCATAATAATAATAGTAATAATATTTTGAGGTGTAATTTTGGACTTCGATTGTTGTATTTTTGTTATTTTTAAATAAAAATTAGAAACTTTGATATATTTAATATATAGATAAGATAAAGATAGAGAGATAAGAATTCATCTTCTGCAATGGAAAGCCTACTTGGATTACTGGTTAAATAACCCTGTTTGAAATCATCGCAATTTAGACCCTTTCCTAGCACAGAGCGCTAAGCAGATCTGCAACCGAGGCGTCACACGGATTGCAGCTCACTCACCTGTGGGTGGGAGGAGTTGGTTGCCTTGGAGACAACAGATAAATCAGGTTCCACGCCTCCTGCGATAGCTTTTCTCAGATTCTCTTTTACTTTGGTTATTTTCAGTTCCAGAATCACCCGCTCCGTTTCCTTCACTTTACACTTCTCTTCCAAGTCTCTTATCTTTTCTTCCAGGGCAGCCTGCGATTTCTCTCCTGTTAATAATAATAATAATCCTTGCATTTGATATCATGTCTTCTAGATATCTCAAAGTGCTTCACAGAATATACTGTAAAGTGAATTGACTGTATATTTTGCAGGCCAAACGCAGTGGCCAATTGCGCACAACAGTGTCCCACAAACAATCATGGATAATAATTCTTCTTATTATTTTGTTTTGAAGGGCTTATTACCTAAAAGAAAAGGAGGCAATGGTTCCTTCCTTAAATGGTCAAGATCAATTAAAATTAAAAAGAAAAATGCAATTGGCTATCGCGTTTTGCCCACAATATACACAATCAATCCACATTACAATGTATTCTGGGAAGCACCTTGAGACATCTCAAGAATGTGATAAGGCACTATATCAAATGCAAGGTTATTATTATTATTAAGAACTGTAGAAAACCAACAGAATTAAGACTGAACTGAAAAATTTTCTTCATTTCTGTGTGACTGAGGCCGCCCCACCCAGCTACACCTTCCACCATAGTCCATGGCCTACCCACCCTGGTGGTGGTGTGGCTCATCTCCAAGTCCTCACTTGGCTTATTGCCTTACTCCTCTGGTTCCTTCCGCTCCTTCGAGCACCTTACCCTCTACCATCCTCCAATCTTTCCCTCAAACTTCTCCTTGTTTATCACTCCACCCAAACCCTCCCACACCCACCTTCCTCTCTGACATCTCCAATGTTCTAGCTTTCCTCTGCCTCTGTTCTGAACGTCTCCTTATCCGAGGTGACTTCAACCTGCACTTCAGCCCCTCTTGCTCTTTCTCCACTCACATCTCCTCTCTCCTCTTCTCTCACAACCTCTCCCTCCACATCCACTCTGCCCACCCACGTCCATAGCCACCCGCTTGATCTGGTGATTACCCGGAGCCTCAGTATCTCGGACCTCACCATCACTGAAAAAGCCATCTCAGACCACTACTTCATCTCCCTTAACTCCTCAATTCCTCTCCCCACCACCCAACCTACTTCCATCTCCTACCGCCCCTAGAGAAAATCTCCATCCACTCCCTCTCCGCTGCCCTGGAGTCATCTGAACTCCTCCCACTCTGTGCTTCCTCCCACAACAACTTACCCTCCTCGGTCTCTCTCATCCACAACTTCCTCTCCACATCGCTTGATGCCTTTGCCCCCCCTCACCTACCAGTCTGCCTCCTACTCATGCAAGTCACCCTGGTACACCAGCCACCTCTGCTCCCTCAAGGCACAGGTGCAAGCACGGATGGGTCATGGCGCCGAATGCACCTGGCTCAAATCTAATTTAACAGTCCATCAGCAGATCTGGCTGGACCACAATAAAACTTAAGGCTCCACCCTCGTCTCTGCTAAATCCTCCTTCTACTCCAAGATAATCTTGGAGGCCAAGGACATCTACAGGCTCCTCATCTTCATCACCAACCGGCTCCTCCACGCACCATCTCACACCTCGCCCATCTTCTCCTCCAACTCCAACTGTGAGGAAATGCTAGACTTCCTTGAGACCAAAATTAAGGTGATCTGCTCAGTCGCCTATGCCTTTCCAACTGCTACCCCCCTTCCCATCTCCCCCTCACACTCCGGTCCTCCCATCCCGCCCTCCACACCTTCAAATTCATCTCCCCCTCCTCTCTAACCACCATTATGACAAATATGAACACCCACCACCTGTTCCCTCGACCCCAATCCTACCCCTCTCCTTATCTCCCAACTCCACCTCCTTGCCTCTTTACTCACAGACATCATAAACCTCTCCCTGTCCACTGGTACTGTTCCCAACTCTTTAAAAACAGCCGTCATCACCCCTATCCTCAAATAAACCTTCCCTGGACCCATCTCTGCTGTCAAATTACAACCCCCATCTCCAACCTCCCTTGCCTTTCCAAGGGCCTGGAATGAGTCTTTGCTTCCCAGTTTTGCCACTCTCCAACCACTCCCACTACAAAACCCTCCAATTGGGTTTTGATGCTGCCCACAGCACAGAAATAGCCTTGGTCAAAGTGATAAATGACATTTTGTTCATATGTGACCAGGGCTCCTTTCATCTCCTCATCCTCCTTGACCTTTCTGCTGCCTTTAAGACACTGTTGACCACTCTATCCTCCTCCACCGCCTCTCCTCTCACCTCTATCTTCATGGTTCTGCCCTTGATTGGTTTAGATCCTACCTTTCACACCATCTGCAGTTTATCTCCACAAATGTTGTCTCCTACAGCCCCCGCACAGTCTCATGCGGTGTTCCTCAGGGCTCTGTCCTTGGTCCTCTCCTCTTCAACATGTACATGCTCCCTCTTGGTGACATCATTCACAGACATGAGGTCAACTTTCACATGTACGTGGATGGCACCCAACTCTATCTCTCTGTCCAGATATCAAGTCCTGGATGAGAGCTAACTTTCTTCAGTTAAACGTCAACAAGATCGAGGCTCTCCTGATTGGCTCCCGTCAGCGCCTCCACACCTCAAGCACTGGCAGCATCAGCATCCACGGATGCACACTCCACCTCACTGAGCCAGTCCGGAACCCTGGCTTCTTGTTTGACCCTCAACTGACCTTTCTACCCCTTATCCATGCCATTGTTGGCCAGGACACTGGGAGAAACTCTCTTTTTTTTTTTGAATAGCACCACAGGCTTAACGTCCACCAGAATAGGCAGACGGGGTTCGGTTTAATGTCTAGTCCAAAAGACGGCACTTCCAGCAATGCAATGATACCCCCAGCAGTGCATTGGAATGACGGCTTAAGTCTATATGAGTTCCACGTGCTGATGTGGGGTTTGAACCCATGACCTGACACAGAAGCAAGAGTGCTACCAACTGACCTAGGCTGACAAACACTGCGTTACACTGAAACTGACATGAAATTGACCTGTCGAATCATGGGGACTGGAGCTTAAAAGCGGCTGACTCCAACAAAGAGCCTGAGTGAGATGACATTAGCACAGACAAAATGATGAAAGACAGGGCTTAGGAATCCAAAATGTTAGTGGTCTAATTTAGTATTCACAATAGCAATATTTTGAGTGTGTTTCCATTTTCCATCTTTGAAAAGGTTCCAAAATCATTGTTATGTGTTTCACTGCCAGCTTCATGACTAAGCACTGCCCTTAATCTAATTCTGTGCAGTTTTTTAAAAATTATCTTTTTAAGTCAGGTAATTTTAAATATTGGAAGCTTTCAGTTAATTTGGTCATGGTAAGGAAAATGATTCCACAATCGACTCGTTCTCATTAAATCACATCCCTGAATGAGTGACCTGAGTTAGAAAGGCCATTAAGTGCATAGATGATAATATAAGATCATATATTACTATATGACCAATTTTATCAGATCATCCAGAATTCTGCAACCCACAATCTCTCCCGCACTAGGCTCCATGAGCCCATCACCCTCATCCTGGTCAGACTCCACTGGCTCCCTACAGCAAAAGGCAATTGTGCTCCATCAAGCCAATCTCTTAAACTAAAGGAATAAATCACACTCTATCTCTAAATTGATTCCTAAATAACACTCTAGTTCCCATTGACACAATCTGCCTCCACCTTCACACTGTCACCATTCTTTGTGTGAAATAATTAAGTCCAAATTGTCTGTACACCTTCACTGCTCAGTTTGGTCTCTGCTGAACCCAAAAACAAACCCTTAGTTTCCAGGATAATTTGTGCTCTTAATAGTGATGATCGTGAAGATGGATTCATGTAGCCTATTAGTTAGAGCACTCGCCTCGCAAACCAAAGGATCTTTGTTCGACTAATAACTGGGTTCCTACTTACTGCTAGGTAAACAGAGGCGTGTGGAGTAAAGAAACTTGCCCAAGGTTTCGCCCTGCCCGGAATCGAACCCAGGTCCTCTCGCTTGTTAGGTGAGAGCTCTAACCAATATGCTACAGCAGTGTGGTCCAACTGGCAGCCCGTGGGCGGCACTTGGCTCAGCGGGTGATTTTATCCGGCCCGAGACCATTTCCAACTTCCAATTTCTGCTCCCTCCCTCTCTGGTGAACGTCCTCCCAGGGCAGCTGCAGGAGCCGGTGGTTGGGGGATGCAGAGCGAAGGGTGAAAATAACATTGACTGTTACTGCAGGAAGGCAAGCGTGTCTCTTAACAACCGTGTCTTTGGCAACCGCTGGCCCCTGCCACTGCAGATAGTGATCCATGCGGCTGATTGGGAGAGAGCAATTGGGGGAGAAGAAGGGAAGAGAGGGGAGAGAGAATGATTCCATGAGAGAGAGGTGAGAAAGGGGAAGCGAGAGATAAATTGTGTGTGAGATGGGGAAAGAGAGTGTGGGAGAGAAACAGTAATTGAGAGAATGTGTGAGAAGGTGGAGAGAACGAGTGAGGGAGAGAAAGTGTGCAAGGGTGACCCACATGGCTGATTTGGAGAGATAGGGATTGAGGGAGGGGAGGGGGCAGAGAAAGTGATTGACAGAGAGGGAGAGCGAAAGAGTGATTGACATAGAGGGAGAGCGAAAGAGTGATTGAGAGATGGAGAGTAGAGGGAGAGATTGAGCGTGAGTGTGAGAAGGGAGAGAGAGTGATTGAGAGAGTGTGTGAGTGAGAGGTGAGAGAAAGAAACAAAGAGAGGGAGGGGGGGAGCAGAGAGTGTGATTGAGAGTATGATGAGATAGAGAAAGTGTGTGTTGGAGAGGGGAGTGAGAGAATAATTGAGAGAGGGAGAGTGAGTGTGAGAGGAGAGAGAGGGTATGAGAGGAGTGAAAGAGTAATTGAGAGGGAGAGAGAGAGTGTGTGAAAGAGAGGGGGTAGAGAAAGAGTGATTGAGAGAGAGAAAGGAGAATTGAGGGCAGTGTTTTGTCAGGACAGACGATTGGAGATTCCCTCTGCCACCATGGGGGAGACGAGTCAGACACCAGATGACGTGCAATTTCCTCACAGAAAGCTCCCTCTCTCCCCAGTGAAAAACCTCCTCTACGTCTTTCATTCCACTCTCCTCCACACCCCATCTCTGCGGCCTCGCGATCCAGGCTGCTTCCTTTCCAGAGCAAACACTGACTTGCTTCATGTGCCCATCTGCCCCACTATCGCCATTTTGTCCCCGCTCTCTGGAGTTCCTCTGACTCGCTCCCTCCCTCCCTTTTTTCAAAGCACATCAAGATTTAACTCTTTGACCACACTTCCGGTCATCTTTTCCCCTCCTCATCCCACCTCCCTCGGCTCCCACCCCCAGCTTAGGTGCCCAGCCGACAGTGTCAAGATGTCCTTCCAACATGAAAAAGGTGTAGATGTTGCTGTGTTTCTGGAAGGGAAACACAAAATATTGCCTATTTGGGCCACCGACCTTTTTCTAATAGGGAATCCAGTCCCCGGCAACCAAAAGGTTGGACCCCCTCCCACACTACAGGACCCACAAAGATGATAGATGCACAGGAGTGACTTTGCAGCTGTCTGCCACCAGATGGCGCTGTCAGCTACAGAATGAAGGGACACTGGCAGACACAATGTGCAGTCTCTGCCTGGAGGGACACACCTGCTAACCTCATCCTGGAGGGTACCAGACACAGGTTGGTGAGAACCAAAACTTGGGGAAACCGATAAGGTGAATTCGGATAAACTGCTGGAGTTTAACTAGCTAAAACTGCACAGCTTTCCATTAAGAACTCTTAACAGTGCTCTGCCACTGTTAAGCGCTCTGAGACGCTACCCTGTGAGGAGAGTGCTGTGTAAGTGCAAGTTGTTGTATTTAGCAAACTATCTGGCAAGCTCCCTACTGCAACAATAATTATAAAGACCGATTTCCCTGAGCATTTATTTACTTGCAGCTCTTTCCATGCTGACGTTAGCTTGGGTTTATGCAGTCATCCTCTGTCTAAGTATACAGGCTCACCTTAGTACCAGAATTTCCTGAATTCACAGCGTCTCAGTAGCTGACATACCCATGTAACATAGCCTTGTAATAATAACCCTTGCATTTGATATAGCACCTTATCACGTCATTGAGACGTTTCAAAGCGCTTCACAGAACATACTGTAAACAACAACCAGATTACAATTGTATAGCGCCTTTCACGTTGGGAGGATGTCACAAGGCGCTGGAAATAAACAGAAGCAGAACTCTTACAATTCCACAAAGAAGAGAGCTCTGAGAAGCTGTGAATGAATCCATATTCAATCTGTAAAGTGGATTGAATGTGTATTTTGTGGGCAAAACAGCCACTTGCACACAGTAGTATCCCACAAACAAGTCATCCTGTGAGTGATCATGTTTATTTTTGGGGGATTATTACTCCTGGAAAGTGATCTGTCAATTGAATAATTACAGGCAGTATTACAGAGAATAGAAGACCGTACCTGCGAATGCTTTCACAGCTTCTCGGAGCTCTCTCTTCTCTTTGCGGAATTGTAAGAGTTCCTTGCGAATCGATTCTTTCTGCTTCTCCAGCGCCTCCTTGTCGGCCAGACACCTCTTTGCATCTTCCTCGGCTCGGATCTTCCCATATTTGGACTGGTTGGCGTCTACAGAGAAAAGACAGCAAGACATTGTGAGCAGTGTTGGCCAGGGCAGCCCTGCTTTCACCAGCCCAGTCTTCACTGAATGGCCGCTTCCTGTGGTGAACATTATCACCATTCTACAGTCACGATCCCTCATCAATTTTATCCACCTCAGGGCAAACCATACGCACTGGCAAGACATGGGAATAATTTTGTTTTAAGGTTAAAAATATCGCTGGAATATTAAACAAGTTTTTGTTCACATTGGAACCAGAGCAAAGTACCATCTTCAAACCTTTCAGATGACTTTTTTCCACGGATTTTTGCTCTTGAAATGTGAAGGTGAAAGGGATAGGGATGGAGATGATAGGGTGGACATGCTGGAAAGATGAGATAAAGTTGGTCGAAGAACCTCCTTTGTCCAAACATCTTGTGATCAGGTTGTGAGGAAGGGTGCTTTGAGGCCAGGATGGACATATTAAACAAAACAGCTTGATGCTGCGATGGGAAGAGAGTCGGGCATGTATTCTGGAAGGATGCAAGCCTTGGGCCGTCCTCCCAATGTAAGAGGCGCTATATAAATGCAATTTGTTGTTGTTGAGATCAAATGGGTGAAATGGGCTTCTTCATCCAAAACAATTTTGTGATCTTGAGCGATCTTGTGAATTGACATGACTTCTCCCTGACAAGAGAGACTGCCCCCTGTCCTTATAAACATAATATAACATGTAGGAGCAAGAGTAAGCCATTCGGCCCTTCGAGTCTGCCCCGCCATTCAATCATGGCTGATCTTCTAATCTAACTCCAGCTAATAACCTAACCCTGCCTTATCCCCATATCCCTTAATCCCTTTTGCAATAAGAAATATATCTATCTCAGTCTTGAATATGTTCAAGGACTGAGCGTCAACAGCACTTTGGGGTAGTGAGTTCCATACATTCACTGCCCTTTGAGTGAAGAAGTTCTTCCTCAACTCAGTGCGAAAGGCTGCCTCTGATTTTAAGGTTGTGACCCCTGGTTTTAGTTTCTCCAACCAGGGGAAACAATCTCCCACTATCTACTCTATCATGCCCTTTGATGATTTTATTGGTTTCTATAAGATCCCCTCTAATTCTTCTATATTCTAGAGAATATGGGCTCAAATTGGTCAGCCTATCCTCGTAACTCAACCCCTTCATCCCTGGCACTAACCTAGTAAATCTACCCTGCACCCCCTCCAAGGAAGTACATCCTTCCTTAAATGAGGCCAAAACTGGACACAGTATTCCAGGTGTGGTCTCACCAGGGCCCTATACAGTTGCAGCAAGACTTCCCTACTCTTATACTCTAATCCTTTCATAATGAATGCTAACATACTGTTTACCTTCCTAATTTCTTGCTGCACCTGCAGACTAACTTTCTGTGATTGGTGTACAAGGACACCCAAGTCCCTCTGGACGCTAACACATTCCAATCTCTCCCCTTCTAAAAAATAACCCGCTCTACTGTTTTTGCTACCTAGGTGGATGACTTCACACTTCCCTACATTATACTTCATCTGCCACCTACCTGCCCAATCACCTAACCTATCTATGTCTCGCTGCATTTTTTTAATGTCGTCCTCTGTGTTGGCACTTCCTCCTAGTTTTGTGTCATCCGCCAATTTAGATATATTAACTTCGATGTCCTCATCTCGATCGTTGATGTAGATGGTAAATAGCTGAGGCCCAAGGACTGATCCTTGTGGCACTCCACTAGTCACATCCCGCCAATCCGAAAAGGACCCGTTTATCCTTACTCTTTGTTTCCTACCCGTTAACCATTCCCCAATCCATGTTAATATGCCCCCCCCCAATTCCATGGGCCCTTATCTTTTGGACTAACTTTTTATGCGGTACCTTATCAAATGCCTTCTGGAAGTCCAAAGAGACCACATCCACTGATTCACCCTTATCTAGGTTACTGGAAATATCCTCAAAAAACTCTATGAGATTTGTCAAACATGACTTCCCTTTTGTAAAGCCATGTTGACTTGGTCTAATTATATTGTGCTCCCCTAAATACCGCACTACCCCATCCTTAATCAACAATTCTAAATTTTTTCCTACCACTGATGTGAGAAACAAACTGCATGCAACAGCTTAAAATGGTCATAAGCACAGCACTGCATGTATCCCTCCTAATATTTGCATGCGATTAATTATTTAGAGTTTACAGCACAGAAGGCCATTTAGCCCATCGTTGCATACTACACCAAAGGAAAAATCAATTTTATACACAGGCATACGTCAGCACACTAACATTAAATGGGTTCTGTCCTTTTTACCATTCTCTTTCAATCAGAAAGCTAGTCCTTTAAAAGGCAAGTTATGACTTCCATTGCACTGTCATAAAGCAGCTATTATTATAATAATAATCCATGCATTTGATACAGCGCCATTTACATCAGGATGACGTCTCAAGGAATCACTGTCAAGTGTAAAGACTGTGTGTTTGATGGGTGAACATGGCAGCCAAACGTACTAGCTGGAATTCCATAGCTGTTCAAAAGTAAACTGATGGGTGGGGAGACTGATACCTTATATAAGGCTTGGATTCGTCTTTAATCTCTCCTACTCACTGCAGATAATGGCTGAGGGAGAAATGAATGCAAATACCAGGGAGAATTGCAAGCAATGGATTTACCATACATGAATTAGCTATAATAAGTTTGCTGCCTCCGTCTTTATAACGGGGAATTCTATTATACAAAGATGCGCTGACAATAAACACAATTTCTTAGTAATCAGCATATTGTAGATCGCACTATTGTAAATTCCTTATATAATTTGCGAGACACTTCATTTGTGCATTTTCATAAACAGGCCATTTCCTCACACCCAGCTATACATATATTACAAATGAATAGACCACAAAGTACCATTCTGTCACAGTGATCACAACCTGCTGACTCTCATTACAATAATCTCCTGTTATTAATTCACACGTTCCCTTTGTTACAAATCTTCTCCCCAGGTAATGGTTGAAGGTTCATTATAATCACTGGCTGAGCTGAAACTTCAATAATATGCTATCCCCCTCCCCCACTCTCTTCTAAATGCAAATTCCTTTGTTGTTTGTTGCTTGCCATTGTAACAGTATTTACAATTAAATTAAACACCCTCTTAGCAGTAAGTAGGAACCCAGTAGTTAGTCAATTGTTGGATTGCTTTCAGGGGGTAATAATCCCTCAAAAAAATTGTGGTTACTCAATCAACGACTGTTTGTGGGACACTGCTGGGTGCAATTGGCTGCCACGGTTCGCCCTCAAAATGTACAGTCAATTCACTTTACAATATTTTCTGTGAAGCGCTTTGAGACGTCTCAACAACATGATAAGGCATTATATCAAGTACCATCCTGGTAAATCTCATTTGTATCCTCTCCAAGTCTTGACTCCTTCCTAAAGTGCGGTGCCCAGAACTGAACACAGTCTCTCGCTGAGGCCTAACCAGTGTTTTATAAAGGTTCATCATAACTTCCTGACTTTTGTATTCTATGCCTCTATTTATAAAGCCTCGTATCCCGTTACGTTTTTTTTAACAACAACAAGATTCCATTTATAAAGCGCCTTCCACGTCAGGAGGACGTCCCAAGGCGCTGCACAGTTGGGTCATGACCCGAGCAGGGGGGAAATGGTCAGGGTGAGGGGAGGGAAGGGAGGGAGCGAGGAGGGGGGAAATGGTCAGGGTGAGGGGAGGGAAGGGAGGGAGCGAGGAGGGGGGAAATGGTCAGGGTGAGGGGAGGGAAGGGAGGGAGCGAGGAGGGGGAAGAGAGTCGAGAGGGGAGCTGAAGGCTCGGTCAAAGAGAAAGGTTTTGAGACCGGCCTTGAAGGAGGAAAGGGAGGAAGCGGCGAAGGCACTGGGGGATGGAGTTCCAGAGCCTGGGGCTGAGAGGCTGAAGGCCCGACCACCGATGGTAGGGCGGTTGGGGCGGGGGACGTGGAGCAGACCGGAGCCAGAGGAACGGAGGGTACGGGCAGGTAGGTAGGGGGATAGTAGGTTGGAGAGGTAGGAGGGAGCAAGGCCGTGAATGGCCTTGTAGGTGAGGATGAGGATCTTGAAATCAATCCTCTGGGGGATGGGGAGCCAGTGGAGGCGAGCGAGGGTGGGAGTGATGTGGTCCCGAAGCCTGGTGCGGGACAGTACACGAGCTGCAGAGTTCTGAATGACCTGCAGCTTGTGGAGGGAGGTGGCGGGAAGGCCGGCGAGGAGAGAGTTCCCATAGTCCAGCCTTGAGGTGACAAAGGCGTGAACCAGGGTTTCAGCAGCGTGAGGGGTGAGGTAGTGCCGTAGTCTGGCGATGTTCCGGAGGTGATGGAAGGCGGTGCCAGTTGTGGTGCGGATGTGAGGGAGAAAGGACAGCTCAGGGTCGAACAAAACGCCGAGGTTCCTGACTGGCTTTGAGAGGTGGAGAGTGCAGCCTTGGATGCTGATGGTGTCAGCGCCTGAGGTGCGGAGGCGCTGACGTGAGCCAATCAGGAGGGCCTCGGTTTTTCGCACGTTGAGCTGAAGAAAGTTGTCTCTCGTCCAGGACTCGATGTCGGACAGGCAGCTGTCAGGACATCGGTGGTCGTGGAGTTGAGAGTAGAGGAGGAAAGGTAGAGTTGGGTGTCATCCGCATACATGTGGAAGTTAACTCCATGTCTGCGGATGATGTCACCAAGGGGGAGCATATAGAGGGTGAAGAGGAGGGGACCGAGGACAGAGCCCTGAGGGACACCACATGAGACAGTGCGGGGGGTGGAGGAGAAGCCATTCGTCGAGACGAAATGAAGACGGTGAGAAAGGTACGACCTAAACCATTCAAGGACAGTGCCTTGAAGGTTGAGGTGGGAGGACAAGCGGTGGAGTAGGATAGCGTGGTCGACCGTATCGAATGCTGCCGATAGGTCGAGGAGGACGAGGAGACAGAGGGAGCCCTGGTCACAGATGGTCAGGATATCATTGGTGACCTTGACCAGGGCAGTTTCTGTGCTATGGGCAGCACGGAAACCTGACTGAAGGGGTTCGAAAAGAGAATGGGTGGAAAGGAAAGAGCGCAGTTGGGAGGCGACAACTCTTTCCAAGACCTTGGAGAGAAAGGGGAGGTTGGAGATGGGCCGGTAGCTTGATAGCTGCGACGCATCAAGGGAGGGTTTTTTCAGGGTGGGCGTGATGATGGCAGTTTTTAATGGAATGGGGACAGAGCCAGAGGAGAGGGACAGGTTGATGATGTCAGTGATATGTGGGGCAAGAAAGTGGAGCTGGGAGATAAGGAGTGGAGTGGGGATGGGGTCAAGGGAGCAGGTGGTTGGTTTTAGGGATAGGATGAGTTCAGTGACAGAGGGTGGGGAAACGGGTACGAAGGTGTGTAGGGGAGGATGGGTAGGAGTCGGAGTGTGGGAGGGAAGGGGTGGGTGGTGGGTGGAAGTTGGAGGGGAAGTGACCGCGGAGCGGATTCCCTTGATCTTGGATTCAAGGAAATCCAGCATCTCCTCGCAGTGAAGGTTGGAGGAGATGACCTGCGCGGGGTGGCGGGGGGGACGGAGGAGTCGGGTTGTGGTGGAAAACAGTAGCCTGGGGTTGTTCTTCGCCTCCAGGATTATCCTGGAGTAGAAGGACGACTTGGCCGAGGCTAGAGTGGAGCGGTAAATTTTGAGGAGGTCCAGCCAGATTTGTCGGTGGACCGTTAGGCCAGATTTGACACAGGTGCGTTCAGCAGCCCGCACCTGGCTTTTCAGTGAGCGGAGGTGGGTGGTGTACCAGGGGGAGGAGCGGGAGTAGGAGACAGTGCGGGAAGTGATGGGGGCAAGAGTATCGAGTGTGGAGGAGAGGGTATTGTGGAGGAGGGAGAGAGGAGAAGAGGGGTCGGTGAGGGTTGAAGGCCAGAGGGAGAGGAGTTCAGAGGACTCCAAGGCATCGGTTAGGGATTGTGGGGGTAACTTCTTCCAAGGGCGGTAGAAGATGGTGGTGGGTCTGGTGGAGGTGGGGAGGGGGGTGGAGGTGGTGAAGGAGATGAAGTAGTGGTCAGAGATGGCCTTGTCGGTAATAGTGACATCCGAGACACTGAGGCCCCGGGTGATCACCAAATCGAGTGGGTGGCCGTGACTGTGAGTGGGGGAGTTTATGTGTAAGGAGAGGTTGAGTGAGGAGAGCAGGGAAGAGAAGTCTGTGGAGATGGAGCAGGAGGGGGTGAAGTGTAGGTTAAAGTCGCCCAGGATGATGAGGCGATCGGAGCAGAGGCAAAGAGATGTGAGGAGTGTTGAAATGTCAGAGATGAAGGTGGGAGAGGTTTTAGGGGGCCGGTAGAGGAGGAGGATTTTAAGGGAGAGGAATGAGGGGTGGGAGAGGGTGAGGTGCTCAAAGGAGGGGAAAGAGCCAGTGGAGTAGGGGGATAGGGCAAGTGGTGTCCTTGAGATAAGGGCAACACCACCGCCACGGCGGTTGGGGCGGGGGATGTGGTGGGAGGTGTAGCCGGGTGGCGTGGCCTCCGTGAGGGGGAAGGTGTCGCCTGGGGTGAGCCAGGTTTCTGTTAAGGCCATGATATCAACGTTCTCATCAAGGATGAGATCGTTGATGACCAGGGCCTTGTTGCAGAGGGAGCGGACATTTTGCAGTCCGATGTGGAGGGAGCGGTTGACAGAAGGGTGTGTGGGAGGGGAGGGGGGTCCAGGTTGTGAGGCAGGGGTGGGGGGAATGGGGATGAGGGAGGAGAGGTTGACTCCCCGGGTCTGTGTCCGGGGTGGGTGGCGAGTGTGGTGGGGAATGGGGCAGTCGGTGTGGCTGCTGCTGGACAGCCAACGCCGAGTGCCGCGGTGAGCCCGGCGGAGGATTCCCAGGCTGGAGCAGAGGGAGGTTGTGGGAGGGTCAAGTGGGGATAGAAGACGAGAGGGACGGAGAGAGAGGAGGAGAGAGCGGGAGAGATGCAGAGGGGGGAGGGTTTGGGGGGAGAGAGGAGGGGGGCGGGAGGGAGGGGGTGAGGGGGCTCGGGTCAAAGCGGCAGCCATAGTGCGCACGCGGGGACCGGGAGCGAGCGGTCAGGTGGATGGCATTATCCCGTAGATTGGGGCATCGAACCCAACAGGACCATAGTGGGCTCTGATGTGAGCCCTGGGGGGGGGGGGGGGCAGGGTTTTTTTTTTTTTTGTGCGCGCGCACGTACCTGAAAACTAATCTATGACGTCGCAGTTCCCCCGCTCCGTCCCCTCCCCTGCCTAGCTGAACTCGCTCCGGCGTCGAGTTTAAGTACCTGGGTCAGTAGGCCCAGGCTCCTCCCCGCGCTGTCCTGCCGCCGCTCCCCGACTGGCTGAACTCGCTCCGGCGTCGAGTTTAAGTACCTGGGTCAGTAGGCCCAGGCTCCTCCCCGCGCTGTCCTGCCGCCGCTCCCCGACTGGAGCTTAGAGCTTAAAGCTTTAACAGCTTTATCTACCTGTCCTGCCACCTTCAAAGATTTACTTATATGAACCCCCAGGTCTCTCTGTTCCTTCCCCCCCTTTAAGACTGTACCATCAGCTTATATTGCCTCTCCTCATTCCTCCTCTCAAAATGCATCACTTCACATTTCTCTGCATTAAACTTCATCTGCCACGTGTCGGCCCATGTTACCAGTCTGTCTATGTCCTCTTGCAGTCTGCTACTATCCTCCTCACTGTTCACTACTTTTCCTAGCTTAGTTTCATATCAGTGGCAAGTATAGGCAGAACTGGATAAGCAGAGAGCAATTAACCTAACACATACGCAATAATTAAACCTATGGATGCTCTGGTTTTCAGAGGCTCATTCTTATATGAGTCTTAAAAGTGCTGAAGCAAAGGAAGGTTTCAGGGAATGTCCTGGTGAGTTGGGAATTCAGACCTTTATGTCCTTTGTTAGGTAAAGAGTTACACGAGGAAACAGCCTGACATTCACAGAATGGAGCGAAGAATAGCTGTAGCACCAAACCTTGGCTCGGAGCCAACAACCTAACCCACTTGCTTCACATCATTCAGACTGGTGTTTGTCTCAGGGCAGCCAATACACCTGCTGGCCTGGTCCTGTTAAATGTCTGGTGCTGACATGTTCAGTAGTCTGAGGAGGGCACTATATAGGTTCAAGTTGTTGGTGCTTCTGGTATACTGCAGTTAAATAAATAGTAATACTACTCCTTACATTTGGTATAACGCCTTTCGTGTCAGGATGACATCTCAAAACTCTTCACTGGATAGCTTGTAACGTGCAGTAACTGTGTTCTGCAGGCAAATGTGGCAGCTAGTTGTGCACAGCAATGCCCCACAAACAATGAGTGACCAATTTTATTTGGGGGATTGTTAGCCAGGACACTGGGAGAAAGAAATTCCCATCTCTTTACAAATAGTGCCACGGAATTTTTAACGTCCACCTGAGCAGGCCTCAGCTTAACGTCTCATCTGAAGGACAGCATCTCCAACAATGCAGGGCTCCCCCAGCACTGTATTGGAGCAAGAGCCTAGACTACATGAGTTCCAACTGATGACATGGGGCTTGAACCCAGAACCTTCTAATTCAGAGGTGAGAGTGCTGCCAACTGAGCCAGGCTGATCTGACCACTTTGTCTGCTCTGCCGAAGGGCAACAGTAGGGAAGGCGACGTGTTCAAGAGCGGTTTCAGAACGATAAGATAAGACTTACTTGAGCCGTGGCGCTTGATTTTGTTTTGTGGGTTAGTGTTGTGCAAGGCCTCGCTGGCAGTGGACGCCTGGCGCTTGACGTGTGAAGTGACTGGACGCTTCTGTTCTTCAACCTGAATGATAAAAACAAATGGGAGTGAAAAAAAGCCTGTTTTAAAGCTAAAGCTCCCGCCCGCCTCCAGCCCTGCTCCCCACAATAGATCAGTCAGTAAGCGCTGGTATGGAACAGAGCCACACAGAGAAAGGAGATCCTAGGTTCTAGCATTGATCATGGGATGCCATATATATTTTGGGACATGACATGTGCATGCGACTGCCAAGATGATAGAAGGCAAACTGGATAAACCTTGGTCTTCTTTCATCTAGCAATTTTTATGTTCTTGTGATCTGTGCTGTTTGTTGAGGCAATGATGAGTGATGGCCTCAGTGTGGTCCTGAAATTCCACCTCAATTTAGCCTGTAAGGCTTTTTTTGTGTTAAGAGCTTAAGATTGTGTGGACACCCATGCAATAATAATACTTGTATTTAATACAGCACCTTGTATATCAAGATATCTCAACGCACTTCACGGGATTTGATAATAATTCTTGCATTTGATATAGCACATTGTTTCGACATCTCAAAGTGCTTCATAGAATATACAGTAAGGTGTAGTGACTATGCATTTTATGGGTGAAGCACAGCAGCCAGTTGCACACATCAGTGTCCCACAAACAGCAATAGAGTGAGGGACCAGTTTTATTTTAGGGGGATGTTGGCCAGAACACTGGGAAAGAGAAACTCCTTTCGCTTTTCAAATAGTGCCATGGGATCTATAACTGTAAAGTGTAGTAACTGTGCGTTTTGTAGGTTAAACGTGGCAGCCAATTTGCACACAGCGACATCTGCAAACAGCCACAGGCAACACTAACTCCAGGCCCAGGATAAGTGACTGAGAACAGCTGCTTTTCTCTATCTCACCACAAATTCCCACCATATGGTGCCTCCTGCCCAGAGAAATCTCCTGAGAACTGAGAGAGTGGTGGAGTGGGGGTGGTGGCGAGAGGGCGGGAATCCTTGTTCCTGTGAATGTTAATGAGCAAAGCTTCTCACATCAGAGGTGGAGACCCTGCCAATGATAAATCACACGAGACTGGGAGGAAATTCCAAGGTCTGCAAAGGTCAACTAGCCTGGTTTTCACAGCACCTGTCAATCTCATCCAAGTCCATGCTTTTAATCTGAACAATTGGCTTAGAAACCAGAACCATCCGTCCAACAGCAACGTGGTTCCAAGGTCCTGAGGAGCACTATTCACATCACTATCTCCTGTTCCCTTTATGTCTACGAAATCATATGCATTTCATCACTGGCTTGTCTTACAGGGGAGGGGGTTGGGTGAACATGGGATCAATGAATCATTTTGAAGACCCTCTAAGTTTTATTTTCAATTTCATGCAAAAATCTAACGGTCTTGAGCTTCACTTTGACAGAGCTTGGAATTGCTGTGCAATGCAACAGCAATGATTTGCACTTCTACATGGCCTGTCATGTAAGATAGGGTGGTCCAACTGGCGGCTAGCAGGCCGCATCTGGCGGGGTGGGGAGGGCTTGATTTCATCCAGCCTGCGAACCACTTCCAATTTCATTAGCGAATTAATAAATTCAGATAAAGCAGAAGCTGGAGCCAGTGAGGTCACTGGGGGCTTGGGCTCTGCCCAGCGATGGAATTGGCCAATTAGGATAAAATGTTGCTTATGTGACCCACAGACGTTTCTGAAATCTAGAGTCTGACTCTCAGCAGCCAAAGGATTGGAGAATGCTGATGTAACAGAACGCCTCAAAGCTCTTCACAAGGTGGGAGTCCGAGCTGGGTGAAGAAAGGCGGAGATGGCTGTTGGTGTGGTCAAAGAGATGGGCTTTTAGATGGGCTTTGAAAGCAGAGAGAGAGAGAGAGAGAGAGGGAGGTGTGTGTGTGGAGGGGGAAATTCTGGGGCAGAGTTCAACACAACAGCCACAAAGCTGAACCGGCTGAAAGCTCTAGGCTGATGATGGGAAGGAAGGAAGCCAGGGGGATGTGAAGCTTGTTTGAAATAGTGGAGTGGAGGGAGTAGGCAGAAGATTCACACATGCAATGCACTAAAGAGAAACTGAAAATCTCACTTCTACTGCAGGGAATAAAATCATGAAAAGCAACACTTTTCTATGAAGCCCTCTTGGCCTCTCTTCCCATGGCTGGTGTGGCCAGCACCGGAAGGATACAGTGCAGGAATAGTCTATTTGCTCCTAATGTCCATTATGGGTTGAGGTGCATGGAGATTTTGTCATCAGCTGGTATAGGAAACATCTGTGAAAGCTTTCAGTAACACAGCACTTCCTCACTCATCAGGAAATTCACTTGAAACATTGTATTTCAAACCAAAAGGGGAAATTGCAGTTGACAAACTGGATGTGAGCGAGCCCCGTGTTTACATATATATTTTTGCTGGGTTGGAAGTTTAACGTTAAACCGAGGCTCCGTGTCTGTTTCAAGTGGACATTAAAGACCCTATGGCACTAAATGAAAAGAGAAGGGAGTTTAATCCAGTGTCCTGGCCAGCAATAGTTGTTGGTGGGACTTTGCTGTGGGAAAATTAGCTACCATGTTCATCTACAAATCTTACGCTTTGTACAAACTTCTGAGAAGCACTTTGAGACGTTTTGACGTGATAAGGCGAGATATCAAATGCTCAAATTATTAAGTAAATGTCAGCTGAACCACATGTATTGGAAAGGATCTAGGTGAGCAGCTATTCTGAACTCAAGGAAGCTCCTTGCAATATTCTCCTAAATTTAGGCTATCACTCCCACTGGGGTGAGTGGGCTATGGCAGCCTGACAACAGAGCAAATGAAGGCAGTGAGCACCAGCTGTCAGTTGCAATGTTAAATGTAAAATCAGTTGCAGGGCCATTTGTGCGTGGTTTACTGTTGCGGTTCGAGGCTGGATCTCTGTAAGCAATTTGTAATGAAGCCTTTACATGGTTTAGGGACCAGTAAAAGTTGCTGACTGCTATGTCTTTGATGTGAAGAAAACCAGATGTAATGGGGACAAATGAGCAGAAACATTTTATAGTTTTGCTTTCTAGAAACTCCTTTAACTACAAAGCGTGCCACCAACTGAGCCAGGCTAACACTCTGTACACCAGCCACCTCTGCTCCCTCAAATCTCAGGTGCACATCACCGAACGCACCTGGCGCAAATCCAATTTAACGGTTCATCGTCAGATTTGGCAGGATTGCGCCCTTGCCTCAGCTAAGTCATCCTTTATTATAAAATCATCTTGGAAGCTAAGAACAACCCCACACTCCTCTTTTCTACCATTAACCAACGCCTCCGTCCCCCCTCCCATGCCTCTCCTCTATTCACAAATGTGAGATGATGGATTTCCTTGAGTTCAAAGTCGAAGGGATCCATTTTGTCATCTCTACCCCCTCTACCACCACATCCTCCCCACCTCTCGCTCCCCTTCCAGCACTCCCGCATCCCTTTGACCCTGTCTCTCCCTTTTTGCTCACCTGCATCATTTCCCAAATGAAACCCACCATCTGCTCCCTTGACCCCATCCCTATCCCTCTCCTTACCTCCCAACTCCACCCTTTGCCCCCTTACTAACAAACATTGTTAACCTTTCCTTGACCACTGGCACCGTACCCATCCCCCTAAAGATAGCCTTCATCACCCCTACCCTCAAAACACCTTCTCTTGACCTATCTCTGCTCTCCAACTACTGCCCAATTTCAAACCTTTTTCTTTCTAAAGTCATGGAATGAAGTGGTGCTTCCCAGCTTCGCATTTTCCTCTCCCAGTATTCCCTCCATGAACCCCTCCAATCTGGGTTTTGTGCTGCTTACAGCACGGAAATAGCCCGGGTCAAAGTGACAAATTAGATTCTTTCAACCCGCGACCAGGGCTCTCTGTGTCTCTTCGTCCTTCTCGACCTCTGCCATTTTCAATACCATCAACCACTCTATTCTTCTCCACCACCTCTCCTTTCACCTCCACGTCAATGTTCTGTCCTAGCCTGCTTCCAATCTTACCTTTCCCACCATCTGCACTTTGTGTTCAGTAATGGTTCTCCTCTAGCCCCTGCACTGTCACGTGTGGCGACCCTCAGGGCTTTGTCCTCGGTCAACTTCCACATGTATGTGGATGCCACCCAACTCTATCTCACTGCCCCCACCCTCGACTCCAGGACCATTGATGTCCTGGCAAATTGTCTGTCTGACATCAAGTCTTGAGAGCCAACCTCCTCTAGCTTAACGTTGGCAAAACAGAGGCCCTCCTGATTTGCTCCTGTCAGTACTTCTTCACCTCAGCCACTGACATTATCACTATTCATGGCTGCACTCTTCACCTCACCGAGCAAATGCGGAACCTCGGTGTCCTGTTTGATCCCCAGCTATCCTTCAAAACTGATATTCATGCCGTGACCTTCCCAAACCTCCACAACATTTTGAAGCAAACTTTTCAAACAAATATTGGGCTGAAACTTTTTTCCCCACAAAAACAGCTTCCCTTTAATTTCCAATATGAAATACCACATTGTTTTCTGACCACCTTACCTGGACTTTCTCATAGGGCACATCATCGTATGTCCTGCTATCGTATGGGTAAAGTGCAGAATTGTTGGATGTAGCCCACCTAAGTATCAAAAACGGAAAAACAATTTAATGTCACAAAAATTAAGCTGAGTTCTACTTTCAGAAACAACAGCACTAAATTACTTAACTGTGTGTTATCAACTTCCAAGGGTTTTACTCACTATCGATTCCAATATATAATAATAATATGGTAAATATATTGTTTTAAAGACTGCATTTAGTGGAACATGTTTCATCCAGCACTTTTAAATGAATGAAACGTGCTATTATATTCAGTCTTTAAAACAATGCATTCATTTGTACTAGATGGTAACACTTCAATTGTTATCAGCATCCTCTGATTAAATGGGATATATTGACCAAGCCTTTGGTTCCTGTGCTCGGCAGAGCCCCCTGCTGGAAAGTCTTGTGCTTTACTCTTGGGTCAGGACCAAGCTGGGGCTCTTGCAATGATGATCACCACTGTGGATGAAGAGCTGACCACATGGGTGTTCTCTGAATGCAACTGCATCAGTGGGATTGTGACCCAGCTGAAGGAGACTGCAGAGAGAGAATGGACTTCATGGCATGTCATCACATGCCTCAACGTACTTCACTATAACTACTGTAACTGCAGTGACTGTTTTGTTTGTAGGCAAACAATGGAAGATTCCGGTAAACGTCCATGAGGTGGAAGAGTTGTTTGTCTGAAGGATTGGTGGCCAGAACCATCTGCCTCCTCTCTTCAGATAGTATTATGGGATCTTTAACATCCGCGAGAAACACATAGATAGTACCTCAGTTTAACATCTAATCTGAAGGACAGCACTTCTGACTTTGCAGCGCTCCCCCAGTGTCAGCCTAGACTATGAAGATCCAATGTGGAACTTGAACCTACAACCTTCTGACTCAGAGGAGGGAATGCTACAAACTGAGCTATCAGGAGGAAGACACTGATTAAAAAGATCAAATTCTTCAGTTAATTTGCTATTAAAGCTTAATTTCCACTTAAAGTTGTGTGGCGGATAATAATGAACCACTGTCAACAGTAAAGGCAGCCTCATAGGAATTGCGAGACAAAAAAAGACCAAGGTCCATCTAGACAATAATGGAGATGTTTCCAGCAATTAATTCTATATGGGTTAGTCTACCATCACAGTGGAAAGCTTTGGGAACCTTAGATCCAAAGTTGCCTGGTTCTTCCAAGCCACAAAACACTTGCCATGTCTCAAATTACTCATATACTGTATCTCAAAATATTGTTTTCTAAAAGAAATCTATCTAATTTGCCTCAGGGTGTTACGTTTGCTTTGGATAGTGCTGGCCGTTCTCACCAGAAGGAATGACGGACTGCGTCCACTATGTTTGCTATCGTTTCCACATCCACATAATCATAGTGTAGAGCCTCGGGGTTCGGGGAAGAACTCGTCTCAGCCAACAGCAGCCCCAGCCACCGGCCCATCTCCTCCGAACAGCTCGCCTGCAAAACCCACAGGAAGCTGAGTTGGGAATGGTCTGTCATTGTACAGTAAAGGCATAAAATAATAATAATCCTTGCATTTGATATAGTGCCTTATCATGTCATTGAGAGTCTCAAAGCGCTTTACAGAATGTACTGTAAATTGACTATATTTTGTGGGAGAAATGCAGCAGCCAATTGCATACAGCAGTGTCCAACAAACAGTCATGTTTCCAAATTAGAATTTTTTTGAAGCAATTATTTATTACCCCGGAAAGCGATCAGCCAATTGACTAACAACCGGGTTCCTACTTACTGCTAGGTAAAAAGAGGCGTAAGGAGTAAGGAAATTTTCCTAAGGTTTCGTCCCGCCCGGGCTTTGAATCCAGGTCCTCTCGCTTATGAGGCAAGTACTCTAACCAATACGCAACAGGCAAATTAGGCAAGTGAATTGGAAATATTTCTGAACAAAACCATTTGTGGAGTCCTGTAGCTTAATGGTTAGAACTTAACTCGCCTCACAAGTGAGAGGACCTGGGTTTGATTCCCGGGCAGGGCGAAACATTGTGTATGTTTACTTACTCCACACACTTCTGTTTACCTAGCAGTAAGTAGAAACCCGGTTGTTAGTCGATTGGCGGATCGCTTTTCTGGGGGTAATAATCATTTCAAAAAAATAATACTATAAAGAATTTGGTCACTCAATCCACAACTGTTTGTGGGACACTGCCGTGGGCAATTGGCTGCCATGTTTCGCCCACAAGACATGAAGTTAATTCACTTTACAATATATTCTCGAAGACGTGATAAGGAACTATATCAAATGCAAGGATTATTATATTATTATTATTATTTTTACTATATGTTGCTTTAACTCATTTCTGGAACTCAATAACTGAAATTCAGATAACATCCTTCAGTTCCTAATCAATTAATCAATGGAACTTCCTCCTTCTACCACTCCATTTCACTCCCCAACCCCCATCTTTCTGTATTTAAATCCTACCTTTTTGAATGTGCCTATGGTCATCTCCCTCTTCATTCCCTCTCCTCTCCCTTGCTTGGTGTCTAACCCCATTCCTGTGAAACTGTCTAAGACATTACCCTACGTGACATGCACTCTATAAATTCAAGTTGTTGTTACAAAGGCCATTAGCAACATGGGGGTCTGATGTTCACTGATCACTAAAATAGTATGCCTTTTTCAAGTCTTTACAGTGGGATTTCTTTTGTAAAGATCTGACAAGAGATCACTATTTTTTGTGATATGTATTCGAGAGACCCTTCAAGTGTCTGCAGATGATTGCAGTGAGCATTTGGACAGTTTGGTCTTTATTTCTGTTCAAAGATTTGGCTCCCAAGATTTAAAAAATATTTCACGTCACGGGAAATATCGACGAGCTCGAAGCACCGACAAAGTCCTATTGTTTTCCAGCCAATTTCACCTCCAGCACGGACACTTCCTGCCCGTTTCGAAGCACCCGAAAAGCAAAGGGATGTTTTGATCCGAATCCTGGTACCAGTTGACAGGCCTGAAGCCTGATGGAGTTCATGTGGGTCCTCAGATCCGTCCTGTCCTTGTGGAAATACAATGTGTTGCCTTTCAGTCGACACCAGCGTTCCTTCCAGCAGTTGTTAATCAATACACATAGGTAACCTGGACAGGGGTGAGAGACAGAGCCCGTGATATAGTGATTACATAGCAGGCATGACAGGATTACATGCAATGTGAGTGGTAATCATCTCATGGTTTCAAGTGATGTTACGAACCTATCAATGTACAGAACCTATCAAAGATATGGTACAGAGTCTGCCCTTTTTGGGAATCAGCTCTCATGTCTGATGCCTTTTGCGATGGGAGCCTGACTTGTCTTTGAATGGTAGGTGTGGGTAGCAATGGAAATCATAGAATCATGGAATCCTACAGTACAGAAGGAGGCTATTTGGCCCATCGTGCCCATGTCAGGTCTTTGAAAGAGTTATTCAATTATTTCCACTCCCCTGCACTTTCCCCAAAGCCTTGCAATTTTTTATTTTTAAGTAAATATCCAATCTCCTTTTGAAAGTTATTATTGAATCTGCTTCCACCACCCTTTCAGGCAGTGCATTCCAAATATCGCAAGTTTGCCTACAAATACTGTGTTTTACAGGAACTCCTCTGAGGTGCTTTGATACACCTCAGTGTCAATGACATGATAACCGCTATATCAAATGCAAGGATTATTTCGTTTTATTTGTTTAAGTGGTCAAAAGTATAATTTTTCTCCCTCTCCTCCTCTATTCCAGGATTTGAATCTGTGACCTGCTGTTCTCTATGGCTATTGAGAATTAGTGTATTTGGGGTATTGAGAATTTTATGACTTATTTTATTCATTGTCGTCTAACTTTATGCTCTAAAAGAAGGATTCTGTGGATGGCACATGGCATCTTGACTGAAGACATGGTCGAAAAGGTAAGTTTTATAATAATCGTTGCATTTGATATTGCACCTTATCACGTCGTTGAGACATCTCAAAGCATTTGCAAAATTTACTGTATAGCGCAGTATTTGCAGTTGAACGTAAAATCCAATTTGCACATAGCAATGTCCTACCAACAGCCAAGACCATCTTTATCTAGGGGATGGTTGTCCAGGATACCAGGAGAAAGAAACTCCCTCCACTTTCCAATTAGTACTTCAGGATCTTTGAGTTCTTATAAATTCCAGAGTGGAGGTGCCGTGGCTGAAAGCTCGGCCCCCACTAGTTGCCTGGAAGACCTGCAGCAGGTCTGAGTTTGCGAATACCCTACTGTTATATCAATCAGTCATTTCTCAAGTTGTCTATTGTTACAAAGGCACAGATTGCAGATATTCAGGGAAATGCGGTGCTGTCAGAATATAATAATATTAATCCTTGCATTTGATATAGCGCCTTATCACATCATTGAAAAATCACAAAGTGCTTCACAGAATATACTGTAAAGTGTCTTGTGGGCAAATTGCACACAGTAGTGTCCCACAAACAAATGGATTGAGTGACCAAATTATTATTAAAACATTTTTTTTGAGGGATTATTACCCCTAGAAAATGATCCGCCAATCGATTAACAACTGGTTTCCTACTTACTGCTAGGTAAACAGAAGCTTATGGGGTAAGGAAACTTGCCTAATGTTCTTCCTTGCCCGGTCATCAAACCCGTCCTCTCGCTTGCAAGGCGAGTACTCCAACCAATATGCTACAGGACTCCACTAGAAATACTGTGTGTAAAGTCCTTATTTAATGCTTATATGAGCATTGATACTGACCACAGCATGGAATATCCTCTTCAGTTGATGAAGTTTGTTCTTCAGTAGTTTGCTTTTTTTTGGCCAGACTTATGATCCGGGTGATCTTTCTCCCTGCTGCCTTACTGACAGTGCCTTTCAGTTCAGTGAGTCCGCTCCTCTTCCCTTTTGCTGTTCAGTGACAAAACAAGACGATGGTTTTAGCCCCAATGATGGTGTGTAACCTAGGAGTGGAATGTTGCACTCCCACTCGCTGAATGCTGGAATGCAGTGGAGCACCGACAAGACGCGAAGGAATTAATAATAATAATCCTTGCATTTGATATAGTGCCTTATCACGTCGCTGATTAACAAATCAGTTAATGTTGTGTGCAATTAAGTGACGTGAATGTAATAGTCATATAAGACAGGATTATTATTTATTATTATCGTAACAACACAAAATTACATTTGTATCGCGCCTTTCACATCGGGATGATGTCCCAAAGTGCTGGACAGTCAGAGTTTCGGACCCGAGCTGGGAGTCGGTACAAAACCACACATAATGAAAATTGAATCCAGGGATTATGCAGTTTTAAATATCTCACACTTCATTCTGTGCAACACCCTATTTGCAATGCTGCTGTGTGCTGTCAGTAGTTATCCTGTATATTTTTCTTTCTCAGTGTTTGTTTGTAAAAGGGCTAATGGAACTGCAAACAATGGAGGTTAAAACGAGTGTTTATACAGCCCTGCACTGACTCACCATGCTCCCTGCCTTCTCTGCCATTAGCTGTAGATCCATTGTCCCCAATTACACCACTCTCAGCCCACGAAGCCTGTTTTTCATTCGATAATCTCTGTATAAAAGCAAGGAAACCAAGATTAAATTGCTGCGTTTACAAAGCCAGGAAGCCTTGCTCCTGTTTTCCCAGTCATCCATCTAATTGAACATCGAATGGATGGATAACAAACGAACAGTAATTCACAATGTGTACCAGAGACGATCATCTTGGAGGGGTGGGTGAATCATTCATGAAAGAAAAGCTGTTTGGGGAGTCTGACTGGTTCAGCGGCTTTACTCTGGGATTTGGGTTTGAATCCCCCAAACCTTTTTGTTCTGCTGAATGTTAAGAATTTGGGTGAAATCAATTGGGAAATCATTAACCAAACATCTGGCTCAGGCCTGCATCACAAAAGCTAGCCACAATTCTGGCACAGAGCAAATTTATTCAGAGAGCTAGCGCATTTCATGTAGGGAATAGCCATGCCCATTGGAGCAGTGCAGAGGTTCCTCTAGGATTTGCTTTCAATAAAAGATGGTTCTGCCGCATTGTCCCACAAACAATCTCAGATTGATTGACCACATATTTTTTGAGGGATTATTCTCCCTGGAAAACGATACGCCAATCAACTAATAACCGGGTTTCTACTTGCCGCTAGGTGAACAGAGCCATGTGGAGTAAGGAAACTTGCCGAAGGTTTCACCCCACCCAGGAATCAAACCCTGGTCCTCTTGCTTTCAAGGTGAGGGCCCTAACCACTACTCTACAGGAATCCAGTTTTCCAAACTGGTTGGCCACTGATATTGCTTATGTTATCAATAATCTGCGTCCTTCAGGAACATTTCCTGGCACAGTCTGAGGAACACTATCAAATGCATGCCTTCTTTCTAACTACTTTGGCTTTTAAAATGAAATTGGATTCAATTAAACTGGAAGTCTGATTCTTCTCGTATGAACCAGGAATTCCAAGAACAAAACATATCACACATTTACCTTTTCCAATTCCAATTTCCGGAGGAAAGGCGGCGAAGTAGATCCCTCTATCCCACTGGACTGGCCGCACACGTCTTTAATAACCTAAATCAAACAGAGAAGCGAGGGTTGTTAATACCGCCTCACCAGCCTCGCCTCAACCAGCTTCCCACAAGCTGAGTTACTGAGACTTTGCCAGAATGTTTTCAAACTTAATATTGTGCCGAGTTTTGGAAAACATCTTAAATTCATCCTTAATTTGGAAATCTCTTAAGATGTCCTTTTTTTTTCCGGTCAGCTTGGCGTCTGACACATGCAGAATCCGATCACCATGCTTAAGAGTATCCATACCAAGCTGAGATTTCCATGTACAATTTCCACCTACAATTGAAAATCCCAGAGATAGTTTGTTGGAATGCGATGCACACTTTCTCTCTGGAGGGGTGCATCCTGCTTACCTAATTCTGGAAAGTATTATAATAAAATAAAGTGCTTGCATTTGATATAGCGCCTTATCAATCGAGACATCTCAAAGCACTTCACAGAACATACTATAAAATGAATTGACTGTGTATTTTGTGGGCCAAACGCAGCAACTAATTGCGCAGCAGTGTCCCACAAACAGTTGTGGACTGAGATACCACATAATCTTTTATTTATTTTGAAGGAAATATTACCCCTGGGAAAGTGATCCACCAAACGACTAACAACCGGGTTCCTATTTATTGCTAGGTAAATGTTCTTCCTTGCCCGGCATCAGACCCGTGTCCTCTCACTTGTGAGGTGAGTGCTCTAACCACTAAGCTACAGGACTCCATTAAGCTATTAGACTCAGGTTGGCAACAGCCAAGGCTTGGACACCCCACAGTGTGCGATGGGGTACTGCTGGAGTCTAACCAGCTAAAGCCACATAGCTTGCCATTGATATTACTGTCCGGCAAGCTTTCCATTGCCAGGCATGTCACCATGGTGCCAGTTCAGCTCCGAGGAGCCCCCCCCACTAGCTCACCAACCCCTCCCAGGTGGATAGTCACATTGTCGTTCGACATTCAACAAGTATTTGAGCCTCACTAGGTGGATGGTAGGTACTAGGAACTCCCTGTGAGCTTCCCTCTGGCCAACGCACCTGAGCATGAAATGGGTGATAACATTGCCACTGTCTTTCTGTGCACACCCTGCAGCTTTTGGGGAAGGTACACTGATCCCACAAGCCAGGTGCAGATCCATAAAGAGTATCTTAGCCTAGACGAGGTTAGCACAGAACACGCTGCCAGCAGATCCTGGTCAATGATCAGAGCCACACCACAAGCACCATTTATCTTTGGGTCCAGAGGCCCTTCAACTACCTGGTACCCATGGAAATGCAAACGACAATCACCCACCATCCCACATGTTTCCTGGAGAGCGAGGACATGAACTCACTCTTGGGAAAGGGGGATCTCAGACATTTTGCCTCCAACAGAATTCACATTCCATGTGGCAAAGGGGAGACCAAGCATCTGTGAGATGTTCTTACAATTCTGATGTGGTGAGACAGTGGAGGTGGGTTGAGGATGTTGGTCAGTACAGTGTCTGGCTGGGCGCACATACCACGCAGGCTCACTTCCTGCAGCCTGTTATCACCAATTTCATTCATTGAGGACATGGATTCCAACCCCTCCTGAACCTAAAAATCTCAAACCAAACCTTTGGAGGTCCTGGTGCCAGACAACGTTCTTTGTGCTCAGGTCCAGATCCTGATGCTCTCGAGGACGTCCACAATCAGATCTCACTTTTGACCAAGTTGCAGAGATGAGCCCACTTCGGAGTAGCTTTATACCACCTGTGGTGGATTCACTGACAGGCCAACTCCAGCCTCGTCAACTAGCCCTCTGGCCCAGCAAGGGGCTGTACATCTGTTAGGAGGGACTGCCTCCCAGCAGTGTTCTCCCTAGGGCTGCTCGCTAGCGGCCAAACCATTTTAGTGAGCAGCAGCTTTACCTGCATCTCAGTAACTCCTGGCTCCCGTAATGTAGGCAGTGAATCACTATGCACTGAATTTCCGCAGTATAAGTATATCTGCACCCTTGACCCTCCACATCCCCTTATAAGTGCTCAGAACCCCAGTCATACTCTATCACATCCAACAAGCTTGCTGCTATTTCTCTCCCACCCCCCCACCCAGAGGTCGGTGGGTGAGGGGGACTACCGACTTATGGTGAATCAGCAGCACTTTGCCCCCTTTTGGCCGCAGTTGGAAATTGCATCACTAGAAGATAAGCCAATTTAACCCCATATCTGCAGGAGCTGCATCTGTAAGTATGGGGTCCATCCTGCACTGAGGAGTAGAAACCTCACGCCCCACCCCCACCGAGACCTTGCCCCTGCCAGCCTCGCTCCATGAGACCTAAACCAGTACTGTAATTACATACTCTTGGAACTAGAATTAACTGTTTCTGTGCCAGTGACCAACCAAATGAAAAGCAGTGCTTCCAACCGGCAGAGGGACAATGAAGAAATCCCTGAATCAGCATAAAACACCACCAAATTGCAAGAAATGCAAGACTTACACACAAATTAAATGTGCTCGTAGCTGAATTGAACTGCTCTTCCAAGATCATAATAATATTTGCATTTCATCCAGTGCCTTTCACATCAGGAGGATGTCTGAAAGAGCTTCACAGGATTTACTGTAATGTGTAGGGACTGTATTTTTGTAGGCGAATGTGGCAATCAATTTGTGCAATGTACCGCAAGCAGCCATTAAATGTGAGTGTAAGTGGGTGTAAGCGTGTGTTCTGATGTGAGGTCATTATACCTCATTCTCACAAATTTCACACAGAAATCTCCATGTGGAACAATGAAAGGAAACAGTAGATGGATTTCACAATCAGTCATGTTGTGTGGGATAGGGATACCTTGGGGAGATAGAGGGATAAGTTTCTCCTATAGAAAATAACCTAATCCTCTGCTCACGGCATCTCTGAGAGAATCAATCAGGAAAGCTGAGGAGTGGAAAATTCAACAGATCAGATATCAGACAAAGACAATCAGAATTATAGTTCACACCATTAAAAACAAGTGTAATATGATCAAGATTGACTGATGAAATGGTGCCTGGAAATCCCGAACCCCCGAACTCTGATTGTCTGAAATGATATCTGCTAAATACAACCTTTCATAATGGTTCAACCTCAAGAACTTCCACGAGGACTATAGCAGATTCACTTACAATACGCTGCTGTAAAACATGTAGAATACATTTTATATTTATATCGCGCCTTTCACCTCAGAAGGATGTCTCAAAGCGATGTTTTGAGCTCATTAAGATGTCCTCTCAGTGTGAAATGCCCTTGATGAATTGGAATGTACATTTTTACAGGCTAGTGATAAAAATTGGTGGTAATTTGTGAGATAAGAATTCTTATTTATTTTACTACATTTGCTACTCTAACTGGCAACAGTGTCCTGGGGCGTTTAAATAAGACTGATGTGGTGTGGGTGGAGTATCATTATTCTTCATTTTAGTCCAAAAAGCGTTGTGCGTTAATATATTTGTAGCACCATCAAACCCCATACTACAGATTCGGAAAACAATTGTGATGTATTATTGTTAATAATATTAACAATAGTGAGTATTAATCACAAATGATGTTATTAATAACCATTGATATTTATAACAATTGCAATTTATCATTATTAATAATATTCTTTACATTTGATGTAGCACCTTTCACATTGGGAGGACGTCTCAAGTTAGTCTTAACTTTGAAGCCATTTTTCCTGTAGATCTTAAAAAGAAAGCTTACAGCAAAGGCTTGAAAGAAGTCTGCATTTAAGAAGTTGCCAAATTCTGGATGTTTTGAAATGTTACATAAATGGAGTCAATCTAGACCCAGATGTATCAGTGAAGTTGAAGTTCTGCCAAGTTGCTCTGTTTTTTCTTAGCTCAAGTTCACACGCGGTCTGGAAAAATAATAAAAATAATCCTTGCATTTGTTATAGCGCCATATCACATTGTCGAGACGTCTCAAAGCAGTTCATATAATATACTGTAAAGTGAATTGACTGTATATATTGTGGGCAAAATAATTAAAGATCTACAAGATTATTGTGAACATCCTGAGGGTTGTTTGAGATTATTGTGAACATCACCGCAGGCCACCTCATTCATGCCTTCACTACATCAAGGCTCGACTATGCAAACTCACTGTTTGTCGGCCTCCCCAACTCCTCCCTCCACAGGCTGCAGATAACCCAGAATTCTGCAGCCCGTGTCCTCTCCCGCACTAGGCTCCGCGACCCTATCACCCCCATCCATATCTAACTCCACTGGCTTCCCATCAAACCGAGGATACAGTTCAAGATCCTGGTCCTCACCTTCAAAGCCCTCCATGGTCTTGCTCCCCCCAACCTCTCCGACTTCCCAACCTCCTACCACTCTGTTCGCTCCCTCTGCACATCCCCTGTCTCGCTCGCCCCACTATTGGTGGGCAGGTCTTCCGCGACTCTGCACCCACCCTCTGGAACTCCATCCCACAGTGCCTCCGTCTCGCCACCTCCCTCGCCACCTTGAAGACCCAACTCAAGACCCTCCTCTTCGACTGTGCTTTCGACCTCTCTGCTTCCCCCCTACCCTCCATCCTCCCCCACCCCGACCCCCAGCTCAGGTCCGTAACTCTGTCTGTCCAGCGCTTTGGGACGTCCTCCCGATGTGAAAGGCGCTATACAAATGTAATTTTGTGGTTGTTGTTGTTAATTCTCTTCAGTACCTTTAACCATTCCTCTGCTTGTTCTTTGCTCTGTGCTGCTAACACCAGCGCCTCCGTGCCCGGCTGGGAGAATCTCAGCTCATGTTTCTTCCTCCGTCCGTCTTTGGAGATATAAATCACATTGGAGGTGTTCAATAGTAACTCCAGGTGGGGCTGGTGGTCTTTGGAGCTCTTGTAACACTAGAAAAAAAGAGATCCACAGATCCAAACTTGGGTTGCATTTCTCTGAATGGAATCTAGGCTCAGGTTAGCAAGAGCTAAGGCTTGGGGAACCCGAGTGTGTGTTGGGATAACTGCTGGAGTTCAGAGCCCTGAGGGAAATCAGTGACCAAGAAAAGGTTTGCTTTAGATTCTTAATGGAAATTAAAATGCACTGCGTAAAATTAACCTCAGTTTCCCATTCACATGCTGCAAGAACTTTGGATTCAATCTACTTACGGGGCTAACGATTTGTGTAACAGTAACTGCAATACAGTGAAGTCCTGTAGCTCACTGGTTAAGAGCACTCGCCTCGCAAGCGAGAGACCTGGGTTCGATTCCCGGCAGGATGAAACATTGGGCAAGTTTCCTTACTCCACATGCCTCTGTTTACCTAGTAGGAACCCAGTTGTTAGTCGATTGGCGGATCGCTTTTCCGGGGGTAATAATTCCTTCAAAAAAACAATACCAATCACTCAAGAACTGTTTGTGGGACACTGCTATGTACAATTGTTGTGCGTATCGCCCAAAAAAATATACAGTCAATCTACTTTAGAGTACATTCTGTGAAGCGCTTTGAGACGTCTCAAAGTCGTGATAAGGCGCTATATCAAATGAAAGTATTATTATCATAGCAACCGTTGGGAGATTAAAGTGCTCTTTGCTAGTACCATTCTGCAAATTTTTAAGTAGTGCACAGATACACTGGATAGTCACTTTATAAACGTACGCTCACAAGAAAGAGATTTGTTTTCCCTCTGTGCAATTTTCTTCCACTAAAGTGCTTTGATGAAGATAAATTGGGTGTTTTTGTGACCCAAACATTTGCTTCTGAACATAGAGTTAAGCTTGTGAGGTGCAACTATCCAGGAAACGTAAACAGACACCCGTGTCATATGTTTTCAAGATACAGCAAAGCTGCAGACTAAATACAACACTGTTCAGTAAGTGGCATAAAACAGCTTCTACCATCAGGATGGAGTATACACTGCTGCTTTAGATTTTAACACTGAATTAGGCTAAATATTAACTGGCATTTCTCCTAGCTTCAATCCTGGACAAGCAAAATTCACAATTTGATACAAATTATCCATGAAAGACTACATTCCTCAAACTGTCAGAAGTGCTTTTGTTTCGTAAAGAGCCAGTCATTTTTCTCTCTTTTATTGAAATATTTGATTCCTTTTGCTTCTGCTGAGATTCTGGGAGCTGGCCCCTGACCGATTGACCAGTATATGCAGTGAATGTTGACCACAAAGAAATTATATACAGGCCGGGCCTGAATCTATCCTAATGTCCACACACATATACACAATCACACAACACATAATAATAATAAATCATTAATTTGATATAGCACCTTATCACATCTTTGAGATGTCTCAAAGTGCTTCACAGAATATATTGTAAAGTGGATTGACTGTAAATTTTGTGTGCAAAATATGGCAGCCAATTGCGAACAGCAGTGTCCCACAAACAGTCATGGATTGAGTGACCCAAATTCTTTTTTTTGGAGGGAATATTACCCCCGGTAAGCGATCCGCCAATTGGCGAACAGTCGGGTTCTTAATTACTGCTAGTTGTGGAATAAGGAAACATGACTAAGGTTTTGACCTGCCTGGCAATCGAACCTGGGTCCTCTCACTTTTGAGGTGAGTGCTCTAACCAGGACACTGAAGGACTCCCCAATCACAAACACACTCTCCAGCAAGACAGAACCTTGGATGATTTTCCTGTCCATAAACCAGATGCTGAGGGCACCCTTCACCTCCCCCCCACCCCTTCACGCCCCCGCCAGGTTGGTACCGGCTAACTCAAACAGAGACCACTTCTTCTTCCATACGGATCAGCAACTCAGTGATGGGACTATCACAATCTGTTATGGATACTGATGTGTGTCCGCATGTATCAAACACCTGGCTAACTGAAACAGAATTACTGAGGAAGCCATGAGCCACGCACAAAATGGCACTTGCATTGAAATATAAATAAAGCCATTTGGGCCAGAGCTTTAAGTGAAATCCGCACAACATTCCCTAAGCGGTTCAGTGGTAGAAACACACACATGTTTTCAGAGACCAACAAGCCCATGTTTGACAGTCAGTTGTTTACCAGTAGTCGGTCTTCCTTGATGACACAGAGTTGCTTGGCCCACTGCCCGAAGCGTTTCTTCCTGAGCAGGAAGGCACAGATCCTGCAATCCTTCACCAAGTCCATCGAGGCTTCCTCCGACGGCCACTGATGGGTCAGCCGTTGACCCTTCCCGTCTTCCTCTTCATCGTCGTAAGACTCATATGAGCTGCTCATTACATCTGAGTCATTGTCTGTGTGGAAACAGTCAGGGATATTTGCACGATCAAGCAATGCAGCTTGATAAGAGACAAAATGTCTGCACAGCAGCTATTTTACAACCTGCTCTTGTGTTAATAACCTATTCATTCCTCCTTTTCAGACAAGAAGTTGAACTGTCAGTCTATTGGATAAGAACATCTCAATTATACATTAACATCAAAACTAGATCAAGTCATAAGGGACTTGATCAAGGGTGAACAGCAGGTGGGAACCTCACCACAGGAGAAGGGAAAAGGAATGAACGACCTCAGGAGATGAAGAAGAGAAACAAACGAAAAACGATAAAATCTAACAACACCAATTTGCATTTTTGTAGCACCCTTCATGTGGGGTAGCATCTCATAGTATTGAACAATGGTGGTGCTTGATGCTGAGCCAGGGGGGAAAGGGGAGGTGACTAGAGACACGGTCGAAGAGAAAAGTCTTCAGGTGCGATCTGAAAGATGGCAACGAGGGGGCAAGATATAGAGGGATTGAGGCAGTGACTTCTGGAGGTTTTAATGCTCAATTAGATTAAATATTCTAAGCATTCCAAGTTTGCTTCTGAAACAATCTACAAGTCAGGATGAGTCCATTTCTCATCTGCGCAATGACTTCTTACGCTCCTAATCATTTAATTGCAAGCTAGCTTTACAAAACTAGAGAACGTAATAAGGAAAAGTAATGGAACTAGAGTACATGAATGCTTATGTTCTCCATTGATCCTTGTGACCGGGTAGTTATTGTCCGCATCTTCATAGTAGCCGTCCTCAATAGAGTTTGGTGGGCTGGAGCTGTCTGAAAGAAAGAGGAATAATTGATTGTTTGTATGTCCATAAAAGGATCTTCACTTTCTGAAGCAAAGGTAGTTGCGTCAATGCCCACTTTTGATACTGTTTTACAAAAATAATCCTTTGGAATATAACCCCTGAACCAGATTCCAATGGTCACCAGTAAATCATATAAATCACACGATGGGCCATGAAATTGACCAAGACTGCTTAAACTCTAACATTTTTGAAGAATTCAGCAGTGTGTAATTCTGATGCCAGAATGTTGCTGAAGGGAAGAGTAGACTGTTCAGGCTGTTGTGATGGGCATGCCTTCACTTTTCATAGATAAAAATTGAAGTATATATACATAGTCTTGCCCCTCTCTGTCTTTAAATCCCATCTCAAAAACTAACCTCTTCGACTGTGGTCCGTGACCCCGGTCACTGTAAAGTGCTCCGAGATGTTATCCTATATGTTGGTCGCTATATAAATTCAAGTTGCTGTAATTGCTATCCTTGAAAGTAATATGAGAGAGAGAGTGTGTGTGCATTTATTTGAAGTACTCTTTTGCAGAAAAATTTTGAAGCTAACTGCAGGAACAAAAGGCAGACACTGCCTCTTAAATTCAGAATGCATTTAATCACATTACAACCTTCTGGTCAGGGTCACAGGTTCATTGACAAAAGGTTCATTTTTGTTGGGTGTATTTCAGATCCCACTGTGTTGATCACAAAAACTACCATTTGTTTACTGTAAACTCATTTTGACGACCTCAGTTTAGTAGCAAATGACTTCTTACTTGCAAATTTTTTCTGATTCAACACAAATGTTGGGTTATGTGGGGAATTAGGTTTGACTGATTTAGGATATTGCTTACATTAGAATACTTTGTTCATGTCATAAATATTTAAAGACCGAAAGGGACATGTCTGGCCTGAAGAGGAACCTGGCTCCTGTACATTAGATGAATCTTACTGATCTGGGGATTACTCAAGTGTCTAGGACTCAGTGCTTACTTCGGCTGGCTATCGGAGTGCTGGCAAAGATGAGTGGAGATCACCAAGCAGGGAAGGGAGGGTGGGGTGGGGCGGAGAGAGTTTGAGGGTATTGAGCAAAAACACAGTCAGTGAGGTCTCAAGGCAAAGGTGTTTCGGGAATTCCAAAGAAGTGTTTGGATGATTCACATTGGGAAATGCCGTTTACAAAAACAACAGCTTGCATTTATATAGCGTAATTTTGTAATTCCAGTCTGCTCCCCATTTTTATTCAAAAGATGAGAATTGGTAAAAACTAAAGGTTGCCCATTATAAGCGCGGATGTAACCAGGCTGATTTCCGCATTTGTAATGATACAACAACAACAATCACATGCATTTATATAGTGCCTCTCACGCAGGGCAGCATCCCAGAGCGCTTGACAGTGGCTGAGCCTGAGGTGATCATAGGCATGGTCGAATAGGAAGGTCTTCAGGCGCGACCTGAAGATGGGGAAGGAAGGGGCAAAGCGGAGGGACAGAGGAAGAGTGATTGAGAGTTTCGGAGCATAGTGGCTGAAAGCACGGCCACCAATGGTGGAATGGAGCGCACGAGGGACATGCAGAAGGCCGGAGCCAGTCGAGTAGAGGCAGCAGGTTGTGGGTTGGGGGGGGTGAGCAAGTCGGAGAGGTAGGGAGGTGCCAGGCCATGAAGGGATTTGAAAATGAGTATGAGGATCTTGAAATCGATCTGTTCCACTGAACTATCACTATAGGGTGCCAGTGGAGCCTGGCTAGAACTGGTGTGATGGGGGTACGGAGTTTAGTATGGGTGAGTATGTGGGAGGTGGAGTTTTGGATCAGCTGATGTTGTGTATCGTGAAGCTGGGGCGAGGGCAAAGAGGCATTTGAGAAGTCGAGTCGGGAGGTGACGAACGCATAGACGAGTGTTTCGGCTTCATCTGGGGTAAGGTACGGTTGGAGATGGGCAATGTAGCGGAGGTGGGTAATGTGGCGGAGGTGAAGGAAGGTGGTCCTGGTCAGGGACCAGATGTGGGGAAGGAAAGACAGCTCTGGGTCGAACCTGATGCCTAGGTTGGGCTGTAGTTTGGTTAGTCTGAGGGATAGGCTGGGGAGGTTGAGGAAGTCAGAGCGGCAGGATAGAAGATGTTGATGGGAGCCAATGAATATGGCTTCCGTCTTGTCAACATTCAGTTGTAAGAAGTTGTTGTTCATCCAGGATCTGATGTCCGCCAGACAAGCCGAGAGAACATCAGTGGACCTGGAGTCGCAACAGAAGGAGAAGTAGATTTGTGTGTCATCTGCTTGTCTCCTTGTTGCCTCACCCATCCCCTCCTCCAACTCCAACTGCAAGGAGATGCTGGACATCCTCGAGATCAAAATCAAGGGGATCCGCTCAGCTGCCTCTGCCCTCCCAACCACCACCCCCTCCCCATTTCAACCTTCCACACCTTCGAACCTGTCTTGCCCTCCTAGCTCACCAACGTTGCAACTCACATGAAACCCACCACCTGCTCCCTTGACCCCATCCCTACCCCTCTCTTTACCTCCCAGCCCCATCTCCTTGCCCCTCTACTCACAGAGCTCATCAACCTTTTCCTGTTCAATGGCACCATTTCCACCCCCTTAAAAACAGCCGTCATCACCCCTAACCTCAAAAAACCTTCGCTGAACCCATCCCTGCTGTCAATTTACTGCCCCATCTCCAAACTTCCTTTCCTTCGCAAGGTCCTGGAATGAGTCGTTGCTTCCCAGATTCGCTCCTTCCTCTCCCACCACTCTTCTATGAACTCCCTCCAATTGGGTTTCCGAGCTGCCCGCAGCACACTGTGATCAAAGTGAAAAATGACATTCTGTCCAGCTGTGGCCAGGGCTCCCTCTGTCTCCTCATCCTCCTTGACCTCTCCCTTCGATATTGTTGACCTTCATGGTTCTGCCTTTGAATGGTTCAGTTCCTACCATCTCCATTTTCTCTCCACAAATGGCTTCTCCTCCAGCCCCCGCACAGTCTTGTACGGTGTTCCTCAGGGCTCTGTCCTTCATCCTCTCCTCTTCAACATGTACATGCTCCCTCTTGGTGACATCATCCGCAGACATGAGGTCAACTTCTACATGTATGTGGATGACACCCAACATTATATCTCTGCCTCCACCCTTGCCTCCAGGACCACTGCTGTCCTGACAGAATGTCTGTCAGACATCAAGTCCTACATGAGAGCTAACTTTCTACAGTTGAATACCAAGACTGAGAACCTCCTGAATGGCTCCCGTCAGCAACTCCACACCTCAGGCGCTGACAGCATCACCATCTATGGATGCACACTCCACCTTACTAAGCCAGACCAGAACCTGGGTGTCTCGTTTGACCCTCAACTGTCCTTTCTCCGCCACATCCGTGCCATGACCCCCACTCCTGCCACATCACCCAGCTCTGCCACTGCCTCACCCCTCATGCTGCCAAAACCCTGATTCATGTGTTCATCACATCTAGGCTCGATTATGCCAACTCTCTGTTTGTTGGCCTTCCCAACTCTTCCCTCCACAAGCTGCAGATCATCCAGAACTTCACAGCTCGTGTCCTCTCCTGCACCCGGCTCCATGAAACTATCATCTCCACACTTGCCTGGCTCAACTAGATCCCCATCCCGCAGGATAAATGTTCAATATCCAGTTTATATCAGGCCTGTATCTGTATGAATTTGACCATTAATAATCAAAGGTACAGCATATTCCTTTGCTGGTCCAGCAGGAAGGAACTAATCTGAAAGGAAGCGATAGATACAGGACAACAGCGCATGACTCAAGTTATGTTTCCTCTTTTTCCTCTTCATGAGCTGACCTCATCCTTCTACAGCAGAGTGACATGGCTGAAGCTCACAAGAGGAAGGTGAACAGACAGTCAACTGCAATCACTTTACCCAGAGAGCAGTGACAATGTGGATAGACATCGGGAGGCGATGTGGGCAGGCTGACCAGTGAGTTCAAAAGGAAATTAGATTAGGCTTCTTACAAAGAGATACAGGGATAGAAATTCCACCTGGGTTTAGATTTGCTCTATTCTCTCAGCATTTCGAAGCAATTTGGCTAATACGTCTTAATTTTCACAAGGTCTTAAAAGCTGATTTTCTGCAAGCTTTCTTTAAGAGCCACAGAGAGTTGACTTCAAGTGAATCCTACCACTTGCTGAATTCTGGATGCTCTGAGATGCCAAGAAGAGTAAATCAAGACTGGGGTGGACTTTAATAATAATAATCCTTGCATTTGATATAGCACCTTAACACATCATTGAGATGTATCAAAGGACTTCGCACAATATATTGTATATTAAAAACAAATAGCAGCTCGATGATGAATACTACTCTACTCTAATCACATTTACAAAGCTTTCAAGTTGTTTCCTCTACCACTGCCACATTGGATACTCACTACGAGAGGTGATGTACTCTGGAACTTTACCAGGACTCAGTGGTACGGCTTCTTCATAATAGTCTTCAGGTGGGGGTGTTGTGGGGAGAGGGGGAGGTATATCAGATACCTGAAGAAGAGAGAAATAGCATGGTAATAATATTCCGATTGGAAGACAACTCTTTAGAACTACCGCTTAAGTACAAGAGCCTTTAGAAGCAGAAACTTTGGCTAATTTACTTCTCCCTCCGTAATAGCCAATCATTATAATAAATAAAACATTAAGAAGAATAATTCTTGCATTTAATATAGCGTCTTATCACGTTGTGAAGCTGTCTCAAAACGCTTCACAGACCATACTTGAAAGTAAATTGACTGTTTATTTTGTGGGCGAATTTGTAGGACAAGTGTGATCAACTTAGGGGCAGAGATGAACCTACAGTCTTCTGGTCACAACAGATTCAACATATTGATGGATGGCTTGTGATTTTGCTTTATGACATATAACTTATTATGTCATCTCTATCCTCCACAGGGAAAAAGTAATATAGGGCCCAGGTACTCACTAATTTGGAATGAGGAATTTCTGGCACTGGCATCTCAACCTGGCTTCCATCCATGTAGTCCTCCTGAATGTCTGTGAGGTCAAGGTCACTCAGTTCACAATCTGTATTTACACAAGATCAATATACAGTGTGAGTGTAAGATCCATGCAGCAGCCGTGGATATGGCACAAGAAAAATCCAATTCTTGGGAAAATAATAATAAATAATCCTTACATTTAGTAGAGCGCCTTTCATGTCGGGTGGATGTCTCAAAGGGCTTCACAGGATATACTAAAGTGTAGTGACTGTGTATTTGTGGGTGAAGTTTGCATTTTCTAACCATTATGTATGCCAAAGGAGGCAGTCAACTCTACATCTTATTTCCATGGTTGGAACCATGGCTAACCACTCCCAAGCAATTTAGTTATAGCCCAGTCAAATTGAATTTTTTCGCTGACTGCCTCCTTTGTTTCCACTCGTATTTTAAGCTGATCACTAAAAACAGAGTTCTTTTCACTCTGACATTATAGTGGGAAAGAATGTTTATTTTGTAAAGTGTGATAATAATAATCCTTGCATTTGGTATAGCGTCGTATTATGTCAGAAGGACATCTCAAAGCGCTTCACAGGATTACTGTCAAATTGAATAACTGTATTTGTAGGTGAACGCAGCAGGCAAATCGTGCACAGCAATGTCCCACAAACAGCCATGAAATGATGACAAATTGTATTTCAAATAGTGCCATGGGTTCTTTAACGTCCACCTGAACAGGCAGTCGGGACATTGGCTAAACATCTTCTCCGAAGGATGGCATTTCTGACATTGTTTCTAGCACTGAATTGGAGTGTCTGCTTAGACAATGTGAGTGGCATTATTTTGTGCAGATTGTTGTCAGGTATAAGGTCTGTGCCAGAGTGCCTTCACAATTACCAGACTTGCAAGCATGTAAGTCTGGTGGTTGTGAGAAATCGGCTAATACCTGTTAACTGCGTTATTCAGTGAAAGGATTCACGCTTATACGCTACTCATTAGTATGACATACTCTAGATTTTAAGTCTCAAGCAGTTTTACTCAATTCTTTTAATGATGCCGATTCTTCTCATGGAATCTTTCTGAACTAAGCCTGAAATGTATTCAAAGCCTTTAGCCCGAGTTATCGTTAATACTGGGTAAACTCACCAATTGTTCCAAAACCAATCAAAGAATCATTGAAATTTTCAGTGCAGAAGGAGGCCATTTGGCCTATCGAGTCTGCACAAGCTCAATGGGCCAAAGAGCAAGCTGTTCTTTCAGTCCTAATGCCTTGTCCTATGCCCAAACCCCCCTCACCCTCTGACTTGCATATACTTTCCTCTTGAAAGCCACAATGAACTCTGCCTCCACCACCATACTTAGCCGGGCATTCTATATCCCAATCATTCCCAACACTGGGAATCAATATTCAGGGTGATTGGCGAGATTCAGTGTCTTAATCAGATATATGAGCAATACCAAACTGCAATCTTTTAAGAAGTTCCAAATGGCAGGAAATTGTATTGCAATGTCCTAATAATGTATGGGCATCTCAACATCAAGTCATGCGCACGCTTTCACTGAGATCCGCTGGTAATGATTTCATTTTCCATTCCACTGCTGTTACTACTGCTTGGCCTTCACTCAATCAAGTCAACAGTTTCCAAGTGAAGCTTGGACGCAAAGCCAAGCCCCCATCTGCTCCACGTTGTAACGGCTGCATTTCATGAATGTAAATTAATGCGAAATGTAAAGAACAACAACAAATTACATTTGTATAGGGAGGAGTCAGGAGAATGTCCCAGGGTGCTGGACAGTCAGGAATTTGGACTCAAGCTGGCATAAGCAGGAGTGGAGGGCAGGGAGGATAGGGGTAGGAGGGTGACAGTAGGTGCAGTTGAAGCGGAGGGTCTTGAGACAGAAATAAATAATAAGCAGAGAGGACATGAGGTGGAGGGATTTAAGGAGAGAGTTCTGGATGGGGAAGGGAAACAAAGTGCCCACCAAACTTTCTCTCTAGTTTGTGTCTACTAACAAACTACCCCACTGAGTTAACAGTGATTGTTACTGGAATCACTGACCAGCCATACAATACACTGGGGAAACCTCACACATAAAAAACAACCCACTGCTATGTCAATTTTCATGTAAATACCCAAATGAATGACACTTGTTTAAAGATAGGATAAAAATACCTTAATGGTGATTCATGAGGAGCTTATGTCAGCAGTCAGACGTTCTTGCCTCCGCTTGTAAGAGTTTCTCCAACACAACGGAATGATGAGGTGATAATAACCCATGCCTTGCAGTTCTATTGTGAGGCATTGCTGTTTTGCGGGACATTGTTGTCTGCAAATTGTCTACTGCATTTGCCTTAAAATACACAGTCACTATACCTTACAGTAAATCCTGTGAACCGCTTTGTGATATTTTGCTATATCAAATGCATGGCTTAGAATTGTAGAATCATAGAATTATACAGCTCAGAAGGAGGCCAATCGCCCCATCGTGTCTGTACTGGATCTTTGAAAAGAGCTATCCAATTCAATCCCACTCCCCGTGCTCTCCTCACAGCCCTGCAAACTTGTCCTCCCCAAATAATTATCTACTTCTCTCTTAAAAGTTGTTACCGAATCAGCTTCCACCACTCTTTCAGGCAATGCTTTCCAGATCCGAACAACTCGTTGTGTGAAAAAATTTCTCCTCACCTCCCCTCTTTCTTTTAACAACTATTTTAAATCAGTGTCCTCGGGTTACCGACCCACCCACCAGTAGAAATAGTTTCTCCTTATTCACTGTCAAATTGAATAATTCACCCTATCGAATCCCCTCCTAATTTTGAAAACTTCTATTTGGAGTCCTGTAGCTCAGTGGTTAGAGCACTCGCTTTGCAAGCGAGAGACCTGAGTTCAATTCCAGGCAGGGGCGAAACCTTGGGCAAGTTTCCTTACTCCACACGCCTAATAATAATCCCTCCAAAAAACCAAAAACAATAATTAAATTGGTCATTTTCAATCTACGACTGTTTGTGGGACATTGCTGTACGCAATTGGCTGCCGCGTTCGCCCACAAATATACAGTCAATTCACTTTACAGTGTGTTCTGTGAAGCGCTTTGGGACGTCCTCCCGACGTGAAAAGCGCTATATCAAATGCAAGGATTATTATTAGTATTATTATATTAAGTCTCCTCTTAACCTTCTCTGCTCCAAGGAGAATAATCCTAGTTTCTTTAACCTCTCCTGATAACCGAAGTCCGTCATTCCTGGTACCATCCTGTTAATCTCCTTTGCACCCTCTGCAATGCCTTGACATCCTTCCTAATGTGTGGTGCCCAGAACTGAATACAGTCTCTCGCTGAGATCTAACCAGTGTTTTATAAAGGTTCATCATAACTTCCTGACTTTTTTATTCTATGCCCCTATTTATAAAACCTTATTTATAAAGGCTTATTATTACATGATAGTGATGGTGGCTCTTGCCAACCTGCACCTAATACTTTCCAGAATTGGGTAAGCAGGATCCGTCCCTTCAAGGAGAGAGTACGCTTTCCACTCCAACAATCTATCTCTAGGATTTCCATGTGTAGGTGGGATGCCTAGAAATCTCAACTTGGTTTCGATACCCTTAAGCATGGTGATGGGTTTCCACATATGTCAGACACCTGGCTGACCCCAAAAAAAAAAATTATTACATAATCTATTGCAGTGGGAAACTCCTGAGGTAATGATTAAAATGAACAATCAAAAACAGATATTAAGACCCCCAGCGAGTCAATATAAAGCAAAATTCAGAAGTACACCATTGTAAGGATCCCAAGACATTTTGATTCAGTACTTTACATTATTCCTTCAAGTAAAATAAACACATCTATGCAACTGTGATTCCTTCATTATTAAGTGGAATTGTTTCCTACCAAACTCTTCGAACAAGGACTCCACAAAGCTGGTTCCGATCCTGCAGGCTGAAGTGTTCATGTACATGTAGTCAGTTTCAGCAACTGAAATAACAAGACCCGTTACAACAGAGAAAGAACCCGCGTAACACTTTACAGCCTCCCCAACTGCCATGCACACAAGATACTCAAATGCTAATAAAGGGCAAGGTTTGACTTGTACTACTTCACAAACTGAAAGGGTTATTTAGTGAAGATCATTACAACCTCAGTGTTTTTATTTCCTGTGAAATTGAAGGACAGGCAAATTGTTGTTGAGCCCCATCCACTTGGGCGGGAAGAAAACATGGACATTCAAAGCATTTTACACTTAAATAATAATAATAATAATCATAATTTGGTCATGGAATTGGCTGCCACGTTTCACCCACAAAATACATAGTCAGTACACTTTACAGTGTTGCAAGCGAGACACCTGGGTTCAATTCCAGGCAGGGCGAAACCATGGGCAAGTTTCCTTACTCCACACGCCTAATAATAATCCCTCCAAAACAAAACAACAATAAATTGGTCATTTTCAATCCACGACAGTGCGACTCTGCTGTGCACAATTGGCTGCCGCGTTCGCCCACAAATATACAGTCAATTCACTTTACAGCATATTCTGTGAAATGCTTTGAGACGTGGAGAAGACGTGAAAAGCGCTACATCAAATGCAAGGCTTATTATTCTGTGAAGCACTTTGAGACATTTAAACAAAATATTAAAGTGCTATATCAAATACAACAATTATTATTAAAGCCCAGGCCAGATGTGAACTGCCAACGAACCTTTATGGCAATTGCTGTTAACGTTTGGAATGGGGAAGGAGTTAAGGAATTCAGAAGAATGCCTATCTTGTTTCAAAAGCTTTGCATTGGATTCCCAGCTTTCCATTCTGATTTCAGAGCTGTCTCTCAGTCTCTAAACCAGGCTTTAAGCCCATCTGTAAATAATAAATCATCCATTTCCCCAACTGTTTGACACAGGTTCACCCAGTTCCTCGTTCAACGGAATTCTAAGCGTTGTGAGCTGTTTGGGGGACACTACTATGTACAAATTGGCTCTGTGTTCTCCTGCAAAACACAGTTACTGCACTTTACAGTGTATCTTGTCCTCCCAACATCAATAATAATACTAATGCTTATATTTGATATCATGTCATTGAGACGTCTCAAAGTGCTTCACAGGATATACTGTAATTTTCTGGGTGAAATGTGGCAGCATACAGCAGTGTCCTACAAACAACAATGGAGTAAGAGACCAATTTTATTTGGGGCATTGTTGGCCAGGAGACTGGGAGAAATCCCCTTCCCTTTTCGAATAGTGCCATGTCAACAGTGCTATATCAAATATAAGGATTATTCTTATTAAGATATCAGCAAATAAGGATATTTGTTCCATGGTTGGAATAATACACCTCCTCCTGGTCAGCCTTGGCGATAGAATCATCATAGAATTACACTGAACAGAAGGAGGCCATTCGGCCATCGTGTCTGTGCCGGCTCTTTGAAAAGAGCTATCCAATTCAATCCCACTCCCCGCGCTCTCCTCATAGCTCTGCAAACTTGTCCTAAACAAATAATTATCTACTTCTCTCTTAAAAGTTGTTATCGAATCGGCTTCCACCACCCTTTCAGGCAATGCATTCCAGATCCGAACAACTCACTGTGTGAAAAAATTTCTCTTCACCTCCCCTCTGTTTCTTTTAACAACCATTTTTAATTGGTGTCCTCGGGTTACTGACTCACCCGCCAATGGAAATAGTTTTTCCTTGTTCACCCTATAGAATCACCTCATAATTTTGAAAACTTCTAGAATAATCCTAACTTCTCTAGCTTCTCCTGATAACTGAAATCCCTCAATCCTGGTACCCTCCTGTTAAAAATCTCCTTTGAACCCTCTCCAATGCCTTGATATCCTTCCTAAAGTGTGGTGCCCAGAACTGAACACAGTCTCTCGCTGAGGCCTAACCAGTGCTCTATAAAGGTTCATCATAACTTTCTGAATTTTGTATTCTATGCCCCTATTTATAAAACCTTGTATCCCGTATGCTTTTTTAACAGCTTTATCTACCTGTCCTGCCGCTTTCAAAGATTTACTCATATGAACCCCCAGGTCTCTCTGTTCCTTCCCCCTCTTTAAGATTGTACCATCAGCTTATATGGCCTCTCCTCATTCTTCCTCCCAAAATGCATCATTTCGCATTTCTCCACATTAAACTTCATCTGCCCCGTGTCGGCCCATTTTACCAGTCTGTCTATGTCCATTTGCAGTCTGCTACTATCCTCCTCACTGTTTACTACTTTTCCTAGCTTAGTATCATCTGCAAACTTAGAAATTGTACTCCTATACCCAAGTCCAGGTCATTTATACAGATCAAAAACAGCAGTGGTCCCAATACTGACCCCTGGGGGACACCACTGCACACTTCCCTCCAGTCAGAAAAACAACTGTTCACCACCACTCTGCTTTCTGTCTCCCAGTCAGTTCTGTATCCATGCTGCCACTGTCCCTTCAATATCTTGGGCTTCTATTTTGTGTACAAGTCTCTTATGTGGCACTTTATGAAACACCTTTTGAAAATCCATATAAGCTACATCAACTGCACTACCTTCATCCACCCTCTCCGTTATTTAATCAAAAAAACTCTTATCAGTTTTGTTAGACATGATATGCCTTTAACAAATCCATGTTGGATGTCCTTTGTTAACCCATATTTTTCTAAGGGAAAGTTTATTCTGTCCCGGATTATAGCATCTAGAAGTTTCCCCACTACTGACATTAGGCTGACTGGCCTGTAGTTCCCGGGTTTATCCTTCTGCCTCTTTTTGTGGAGGGTATAACATTTGCAACCCTCCAGTCCTCGGATACCACCCCAGTGTCCAAGGAGGATTGAAAGATTGTGGCCAGAGCCTCCGTTATTTCCACCCTTACTTCCCTCAGTAACCAAGGATGCATTCCGGACCGGATGACATATCAACCTTGAGCAGCGACAACCCTTTTTAGTGCCTCCTCTCGGTTTATTCCTATTTTATCCAATTTCTCTACCCTCTCCTCCGATACTGTGGCATTGGGTCCATCGTTTTCTTTTGTAAAGACAGATGCAAAGTATTCAATCAGTACATTAGCCATGCCCTCTGCCTCCACAAGAAGATTTCCTCTTTGGTCCCTAATTGGACCCACCCTACCTTTGACTAACCTTTTATGCTTATAAAATATCTTAGGGCTCTCTTTTATGTTACCCGCTAATCTTTTGTAATACAATCTCTTTGTCCCTCTTATTTCCTTTTTCAGTTTTCCTCTGTACTTTCTATGTTCTATTTGATTATCTTCTTTATTTTAGACCTGACATTTATCAGAAGCCTCCTTTTTCTGATTTATTTTAAACTTAATTTCCTTATTCATCCAGGGAGGTTTTGTATGCCCTTCTTTTCCCCTTTGTGGGAATGTATTTATTCTGTCCCTGAACTATCTCCTCGTTGAAGGCTTCCCATTGCTCATTACCTGTTTTGTCTGCCAATCTTTCTTTGCAGTCCCCCTTGGCTAGGTCCCTTTTTAACTCATTGAAATTAGTCCTCTTCCAGTTGAGTATCTTCACATTTGATTGGTCCTTGTCTCTTTCCATAAGTACTCTAAACTTAATAATGTTGTGATCACTGTTGTCCAGATGCTCTCCTACTGAAACCTGCTCCACTTAACCCACTTAATTCCCCAGAACCAGATCCAGCACTGCTTCCTTCCTTGTTCAACTGGAAACATACTGATCCAGAAAGTTACCCTGCACACATTTCAGGATTCCTTCCCCCTGTCATTTTGCCAATCTATGTTAAGATAATTGAAGTCCCCCATTATCATTACTCTATGCACTGGTGAGCTTTGTAATGAGGTTCAAACCATCCTACCCTCTGCTAAAGGATAAAGTTGGGAGGGTGGGGATGAGGCACAGAATGGAAAATAATGCACGGCGGCCAGAAACCCGAAGCAATGTGCTCAAGAACCACTGACTGACCAGATGATGTTTGAATCCTCTTCAGCATGCTGCCCACTGTAGTGGTCTGTTCCCTGGTGGTCGCGCTCAGGTATTCATGGTCCAGCAATTTCAGTAAGAGATTCAGTTCTGGAATTAGCTGCTCGATTGCTGAAAAGAGAAGAAAAGCCCAGACTTATTGAATGATCAAAATGAAGGAACCCAGAGCCAGGAACTTCAGTGTTTACCAACAAATCAAAAATTTTTAAAAAATCACAACTCTTTGTGGGACACTGCTGCGCACAATCCAATTTACAATATATTCTGTGAAGCGCTTTGAGACATCTCAGCAACATGACAAGGCACTATATCAAATGCATACTTATTATTATTACTTGTTTTTAATGGGAGTCTGAATGGGGGAATAATATTGACCAGGCTACCTAGCCAATTGATGTTTGCCTTCAAGCAACCAATCACCACAGTGGACATCAATTCAACCTGAAGTATTTTGAGATTTTTAAAAAATTGCTGCAACATCAAAGGCAAGGATTATCATTATTATTAACAGCACAGGTGCTGGTGTGGGGCTTGAAACTACAACGTTCTAACCCAGAGGCAAGAGTGCTATTAACCTAGCCAAACAAAGACTTCCTGTCTGTTGTTGTCTTTGTGGAGCAAATAAAAGCTTCCATTGTGCTCAATTAATCGGAACCTCTTGTTCATTGCGGTTAAGTGATAATACTAAAGTGTAGTTTGCTTACCAACATTAATCAGCTGTTTGCCGAGCGCTAGCAACATGTTGGAGGCAAATCTGATGGCTTACTTAATAAATATATCCATGATCTGTTATAATAATAATGATAATCCTTGCACTTGATATTATCACGTTTTTCTCACGCCTTATCATGCTTTTGAGGTGACTCAAAGCATTTCACAGAATACACTGTAAAGTGTATTGACTGTGTGTTTTGTGGGCAAAACACAGCAGCAAATTGTTCAGAGAAGTGCATAAAATTATACCAACTCACAGGAACACAGTTCCCAGTCAATCTCTTCAAATTAAGAAAGCTGTGGAGAAACAATGTACCCCTCTGGTGTTATGTTTCTCATAGCTTCAATCCCTGCCTCCCTCCCTTTCCGCAGTTATTTGACTTTACAACTAGATCAGAGCCCAAAGCAAATGGAAGGTTGGCAAGTCAAGCAATCAGCAGGGACTATTTTCTGTCAATAAATAACACTGGAGAGTGCTCACAAGAAGTCTCCAATCACAGCTTCCTCTGAACCCAAGCCACACAGACCACACAAAAAAACAACACAAAAACAGATCTATATCTAACTCAGAATCGTAGGATGACTCAATAATGAGTACTTTAAATGTTTAGCCTTGCATGAAATTGCTGCAGCACGTCAAAATACTTGTCATTATGTCTTTATCCCATTATAGATGCAGATGTCTCATATTTAAAATAAATTCACGTCTAGAAAATGTGAAAAGCACTATATCAAATGCAAGGATTATTATTATAAATGCAGTGAAACATTCGCTGTGTTAACAATGTACACCCCATTTATTTATGCCAGCGATCTCCAAGTAAAAAATACACCACGTAATCTCACTGAATCCGTTATGAAACGTCTCATTTTAAGAAAGGTTTTAGGAAGCTCGGCTTCCAAAAATAAAACCATGTTTAAGTATCTGCCAAAATTCAGCGCAGTCTTAAAAATTTACCATATTTATTTGATCTTTAAATCTAAAATGACCCCAAATGGTCTATCAAGTTCCTATCAAGATTTTGGGCCAAGTGTTTTTTGAGCCAAATAGTTTGAAAATATTTCTCTTTACTGAGTTCACCACTAGACAGTACTTTGCAGCTTCCAATTTATTTTAAACCTAAACAAACAGCAAAAAAAATCCTTTCAATCCACAACTGTTTGTGGGACGCTGCTGCGTGCAATTGGCCACATTTCACCCACAAAACAGTCAATTCACTTTACAGTATATTCTGTAAAGCTCTTTGAAACATCTCAATGATGACATAAGGCACTATATCAAATGTAAGGATTATAATATTATTACTTTCAAGAACATATGCGGCTCCAGCATCTGAGGAACACAAATGCAGCAAAGGAATCAATATTACAATCAAGGAACCAGCACGCTGAGCAGCAAAGTATATCGACAACTTCATCAAGTCCCAGCCGGGATGGGGTCAACTGCAGCATCGAGAGAAGGCATTCTGTCTGTGCACTCAGAAATAAACCAAACACAATTTACATTACAAATAACACAACAGCGTAAACACACAATTAAACCATTTAGAAGTGCACAAGGGCGGAGAATTGTCTGCAGCGCATAGTCTTACATCAATGAATTTTCTGCATGGAGCAGAAGTAACTCTGTCCTGTATGTGGTTCAACCCCTGCTCTCTTTCAGTCTCAACCGACTGTCAGCTAAAGGCAGCAGGTCCACGACACAAACGTCGGGTTGCATGACTATTCATGGCTATACGTTACTTGTTAGGCTGGAATTCAAGCCTCTGAAGGAAATTAGCCATGTTGAGTGATGGACATTTTTGTTTAAAAGGCTCCTTATATGTGCAATATGTATAGAGGTGGGGGAGATGCTTCAGCCACCTAGTTACATTCTTTTGGAGGTCTGATTGCCATATGTTGGGAGTTATGAATGTACTGAGCTAATCCGAGTGTAATACAATACAAAATTACATTTGTATAGCACCTTTCACGTCAGGAGGACATCCCGCATTGTTAGTGAATCTTTATTTGTTTTCAAACAACGTAGAGAAAGGCTACCAAGCCAACAAAGTACAATTGTGTTTACCTCAGTCATTACTTTTATTTGTCTTGCCTTTAAAGTAACCAAATGGTCTTGTTTGGGATCCTGTTGAAACAACTGACCACTTTACTCACCTGTATCTAATCATACTGAATGAAGGTGGCTGTGTAAAGTGTAAACACTGCACTATCTATAAGGTCTGATGACAGACCAGATCCATGTGTGAAAGCCTCGTCTCCTTCAAGGTCTCTGTAAAGACCTTCTTTTTCCAACGCTATCGGTCATCCTCCCACCTGACTCCCCTTGTCCTCCACACCTGACTCCAATCCCCAGCTCGGGTGCAAAACCTTCACTGTCCAGTATCCTGGGACGTCCTCCCAATGTGAAAAGTGCTATATAAATGCAATTTGTTGGTGGTGGTCACAACACTACAAGCCTAACATCCACATGCATGCAATTTTCAGTAGGATGTTAACCAGGAATAGGTTGATTTTTCCCTTCCCTGAACCACGGAAGTGCAGACCATTCTGTTATGTGTTTTTCTATAGCTCAGCAAGTTCTATGGGGACAAATTCTGCAAAGTACAGTAGGTCATCGATATTTACATTGTATTAGTTTCTCTACTCAACCCTTAAACAATTTCACCAGCTTTAAACTTACCCTCTGCAGTGGCTTTGTAAGCCCCAGATAACATTCTGCTCTGGAAATCCAGCAAAGAATCAAAGGAAACCTTTTTTTGCATCCAACTTTTCCTCTCCTGTCTGCAGTCACACACACTAATCAGTCGACTCCTTTAGCCTGTGGATTGTAGTGCTGAACAAGTAGCACACTTAATCCCTCCCTTAGTGGTGATGAATCAATACGTCACATCACGCTTCTAAAGCCAGTAACTTGCCACAAGCTTGATTGGTTTCTTGTGTTCTTGGTTCCTCTCTTTATGCGGTTCCACTCCCAGCCCCTTCACAGGGTTAATCTTTATTTTACTGGCACCAGGGAGTCTGCAAGCTATCGGAAGCTATCTATTCACCAGCTCTGAACTAATAATTTACTCTGCAGTGGGTGCATTTCTATATCTGCAAAGATTGAATTTTTTCCAAAGGAACTATACAGATCTATTGCAATCTTGACCACCACCAGTTGGTTAAACACTGCTTTGTGCTGAACAGCTAACCCACCCTGCCTTGTACTGTCTCCAATAACTATAGCATTTCAGTGAGGGCACACTGGGGACAGGGACTCTTCCCACTCAGCTCCCGTTAACCATGCAAGCCAAAGTTCTAATGGGTAGGGTGTTCTTAGTTGGACAAACAGCAGGGAAGCTTGCCAGGCAGTGCTCTCAAATGGCAAGTAATTGACGCACACTCTGGGGTACCCAAGCCTTGGCTCTCGCCAACCTGCACCTAATACTCTCTGTGATTAGGTTAGCAGGATGCGTCCCTCCAACATGAGTATGCATTCCATTCCAATAACACCTCTGGAATTTCCATGCATAGGTGGGGTACAGGGAACTCTTAGTTTGGTTTGGATACTCTTCAGCATGGTGATGGGTTTCTGCATGTGTCAGACATGTGACTGACCAAAACCAATTCATTGAGAGACTTTGGGAAAAGCTGCACAGACAGCACTATCTAATGCTCCTTACTCTCAGAGTTAATAGTCAATGCTGCCTCCTTCATGCCTGCTACTGATATTTCATGCCAACAATGGGAGTTGACTCACCATCATCCGATCAGAGAGCCCAGCTGAGCAAGCCAGGAACGGAGTGAGCTGGAGTTGGAATTTGGTGCAGAGGTGGAAGGAGATGCAGGCGAGAAAGCCTAACAAGTGCTGAAGTTTTTTTTTCCCTTCATATGCCATATATCACCATGGAGTACTTTGTGCATTACAGAAGTTGTGAGATGTTTGCCTTCTAGGCCCAAGTTTTGAAGGGATTCATCTGCAACAACTAGTAGATTCACTCAAGACTGAAGTGGTCAGCCTTAGTGAGTGACTGGCCATGCACCAAAGTAGTCAGGAGGGAGAAGTCTTTATAAATTATGTATTAAAGGAGACCTTGCAAGGGGGTAAAGTAGGATAGGAGTCTCCGATATCTAGAGGAGGGATTTGGATTAAAAAAGGGGTCAGAAGTGATGGTCGACTAATGGAGCAGGAACAGGCATCCCTGGTGCTCTCCAACAGTTTCTCTCCTCTGGTGAGAGACGATATGGAAACCTAAGCAATGGCATTAATGCAACATGTCTGACAAATAAGATGCGTGATCTGGGTGCAGGGGGTGTCAGATTGGACATCATAAGCAACACAGAGACATGGTAGAATGAACCCAATCAATAGGATACGCATCTGAAAGATTACAAACTGTTTAGGAGGGACTGTATCGGGCGAAGAGAAGGTGGTGTGGCACTATATATAAGCTCCATTATTGAGACACAAGTGAGAGAGGATATAAAAAAGGAAAGGGCAGGCACAGAATAACTTTGGGTAGAATTAAAAGATGGTAACAGAGGTAAACTATTACTGGGGGTTTCCTATAGACCTCCAAATCAGGGTGAAAGCCTTGATCTGAAATTGTGGGATGAGATAAGGAAGGCAACCAGTAAGAGACCAACCATTGAAGTTGGAGATTTTAACTTACCAGAAATTGACTGGGATAATGATGTGTCCACTGGTAAGAAAGGGAAGGGATTTCTAGGTTTAAAGGAAGACTGCTTTATGACTCAGTTTGTAAAAGAGCCAACAAGGGGAGACAACATCTTGGATTTGATGATGAGTAATGGGGACAATCAAATCTGCAACATAAAGTGGGAGAAGCATTAAGCAACGGTGATCACAATGCAATCACATTTGACATCACAAGGATTGATGAGGTTATAAAAACCTTAACAAAACTGCCAAATATCAAGAGGACCAACTTTGTGCGCCTGAGACCGAGCCTCTCTTTGATCGAGCCTTCAGCTCCCCTCTCGACTCTCTTCCCCCTCCTCGCTCCCTCCCTTCCCTCACCCTGACCATTTCCCCCCTGCTCGGGTCATGACCCAACTGTGCAGCGCCTTGGGACGTCCTCCTGACGTGAAAGGCGCTTTATAAATGGAATCTTGTTGTTGTTGTTGTTGAGAAGTCTAGTCGGAGTGGGTTTGACAGGCTTAACTATGGCGAAGGGAGTGGAGGTGCTAAGGAGTACCTTGAAGAAGGTGATTTTGAAAGCAATGGAACGATATGTACCTATGCACTCCTGACTGGTTGTACAGGGCTACAAAGTAATTCCTAAACAAAGACATTTAAGGCCACAAAGGAAAATGGCACAGAATTAAGTCAGATTCAATACAGAAGGCATGCCAGGACTGTAAAAAAGGCATCAGATTGGCAAAGACAAAATCTGAATTGAACATGGCGAGAGATGTGAAGGCTAATAGCAAAACGTTTTTCAGTTACTTTAAGAGTAAAAGATGAACAAGCAATGGAATAGGGCCACTGAAGGTAGGTTTGGGAGAGGATATGACAAATAATGCTGCAAGACTGCAATCATGCAAAAAAAAATTTTGCATCAATTTTTACTAAGGAGGAGATGGGTAACTTATTTGATCTGGAAAGAAAATTCAAGGATGTCGCAGAGGAAGTTTCTGCACTTTTCATATCACTACCAGCATGGTTGCCAAACAGCTGTGCAAACTTAGATAAATCTCAGGGGCCAAACGTAAATAAATCTCAGGGGCCAGATAAATTGCATCCAAGGATCCTTGAGGAATTAAGGGAGGGAGTCGCAGAAACACCGGCACAAATCTTTCAGAAATCACTGAATACTGGAGAAGTACCGGGGGACTGGAGAAAGGCAGATGTTACTCCTATTTTTAAGAAACATAACAAAAGTGACCCAGGAAACTGCAGATCAGTAAGTTTGACGTCCATTGTGGGTAAAATTATGAAGACTTTTATTAAGGATACGGAGCACCTGGACAGAAATAAAATCATAAATGATAGCCAATATGGGCTCATGAAGGGGAGGTCTTGCCAATCTAATTTACTGGTTTTCTTTGATGGTGTGACAAGGGAGCTTGATAAGGGTAAGGCTGTAGATGTTGTATATCTGGATTTCAGTAAGATAAAGTTCCTTTTGAGAGGCTGTTACTGAAAGCAAAGAAAGCAGGAATAGGTGGAGGTATATTACTATGGATTACTGGTTGATCGGAACAACCCAGAGGGTGGTAGTACAGGGAATGTACCGGGAGTGGAAAAATGTTTTTTTTTGAAAAATTTAATGTTAAACGAGAGGAAGAATAGTGTTGCGTGGGAGTTCAGGCAAACTTGGAACTCCTTGCTCAACGACCTTCTACTTCTGTAGAAAACACTATTTGAATATATAAAGCTCTAGCCCATTTCTCAAAATCACTTCCCCTGCTGACACTGTGTTCCTTTGTAAACTCAAAGCTTCCGATAGTTTTCAGTTCCCAAGGACCACCCTCAGACTCACTGCCACTTGGAACATGCCCTGCCTTTTGCTGCGCCCTACTAGACAGCGCTCTCAAAGGGCAAGCCATCTTCAATACTGAGGCCTCTGAGTCTGGCAGTCAATTAAGGAGACACAGGAAAAGCCTTCACATCCTAGTTCAGATTGTTAATAGTCTGCTTGGCAGCGTGTGATTAAGTGTCTGACCTTTGATCCACTCATATTATTTTCCACTCTCTGCATGGTGTCAACTTCCAAACGTTTGCTGAACAACAATTTCACGTGATTAATGATACATTTAGCGCCAGCATCACCTGTGTTGGCACTCACCCGGCAGGTTTCCTATTACCATACGATTGGTTAGTTGGGATACTGAAGATTTTTGTCAAAACTCTACTTAGTTTCTATGTGCCAGCCTGGCTTACTTGGTAGCACTCTTGCCTCCTGTTCCTATGACATTAAAGATCCCGTAGCACTACTCAAAAAGTGAAGGGAGTATTTTCCTGGTGCCCCGGTCAACAATCAACAAACATGGTGGTTTATGGGACATTGCGAGTGCAAATTGGCTGCATTATTCACCTACAAATAGTCCCTGCACTTTACAGTATATCTTGTGAAGCACTTTGAGACGTCCTCCTATAATAATAATAATAATCCTTGCATTTGATATAGCGCTTTTCACATCTCGTCTCAAAGCGATTCACAGAATATACTGTAAGGTGAATTGACTGTATATTTGTGGGAGAAATGCAGCAGCCAATTGCGCACAGTAGTGTCTCACCAACAGTAGTGGATTCAAGTGACCAATTTATTATTGTTTTTTTATTGAGGGATTATTATCAGGTGTATGGAGTAAGGAAACTTGCCCAAGGTTTTGCCCTGCTGGGAATCGATGACCTGAAAGGCACTGTATCAAATGCAAGGATTATTATTTTTTTGTGTCATAGAACACTTGCAGGTCTGTTCAGGTGACCTGAGCCCTCAAAACAACTGTCCAGAGAAGCCTTTGGCAAGAATCTTTATGTGACTTTTTGGGAGCACAGTTTCCAAAGAGATAGTGGCAAAAAGCACTTCAGTGGGTGGATCTTGGCAAATCCCCAGGCAGCTGTGTTTTTGTGTTTACAGCTGAAGTCAATGTGGCCTTTGCTGTAAATACACCCATCAGATCATTGTTCTAAATCTCAGACCAGCGAAGTGCATAGTGCATATGCATTTATTCAAAAACAAACATGGTACCAACATACCAAGACGTGGGCGTGTCAAGTATAGCTCAAAACCAAGGCTCTGAACAAAATGCTGTCTGCTTAATGTAATTCCAGAACTATATGTCTTGATGAGATAAACATTTGTGCCTT